GAACAGCAACAACAAACAAAGGGACCTCAGGCTGGAGTCAGGGCCCCCTGGTGCTGGCAGTCCTGGCCCTGCCGAGGCTTGGCCTCTGCCCAGCCGCCCTTCCCTACATCGTGAAAGAGAAGACAGAGCCCCATGTCTCTGTGGTGCCAGCAGGACAGGATGGGGCTTGCTGAGTTCAGGAATTGGTCACAGCTCAAATGGAGCAGGAAACGCAGCCCTCACACCTGGCTGTTTACTGAGCGGCCGGCCCTGTCTCCTGCACACTCCTGCCCACCCGGCCCCAGAGGGCCTCCCCCAGCCTCCCAGAGCCCCCGTTTGTGCTCCTGTTCTGACTTTAACAGAAATAAGGCCAGGGGGAGGAGCCTGGGGGAGGCTGGGGGTTCAGGAGAGTCCTGGCAGGCCCCCGGTGCCCTGGTCTGTGCCCTGGTTCAAAGGGACACTGCATTACCTCTCCTCATCCTCTCAAAGCAGAGACCGTGGGTCTAGGGAGTATGAGGTGAGGAATGAGTCTAGGCAACTCTGCTGCTAACACAGTCCTCTTTACTAGAGTGCTCAGCCTGTCAGTCACGTCTGACTCTTTGCAACACCATGGACTGTAGCCCACCAGGCTCTTCTGTCCACGGGATTCTCTAGGCAAGAATTCTGGAGTGGGTTGCCATGCCCTGCTCCAGGGGATCTTCCCAACCCAGGGATCGAACCCTGGTCTCCCACATTGCAGACAGATTCTTTACTGTCTGAGCTATCAGGAAGGCCCCCTTTTTCCTAAAGCACCACTGTCAAGACTGCTGTCTGGGTCCTGATTTCTGACCACAGGTGGTACCTTATCCCCTTCAATTAGAGCAGTCTTTCCTAAAGGGCCTCCGCTCAGGCCCACCCGCAGGGGTCACCCTCGAGTGCTCCCAGTCATCCTTCCAGGTAGCTGTTGTCCTTTGGAAAATCAACTTATAAAAGGTGATTTAAAGGGCTTTTTTTCAGAATTACTTATTCCTTCTTGCTGTTCCCGCACGTTCTTTCAGTTCAGTTGCTCAGTCGTGTCCAGCTCTTTGCAACTCCATGGACTGCAGCATGCCAGGCTTCGCTGTCCATCACCAATTCCCAGAGCTTACTCAAACTTATGTCCATTGAGTCGGTGATGCCATCCAACCGTCTCATCCTCTGTTGTACCCTTCTCCTCCTGCCCTTAATCCCTCCCAGCATCAGGGTCTTTTCTAGTGAGTCAGTTTTTTGCATCAGGTGGCCAAAGTATTGGAGTTTCAGCTTCAACATCAGTCTTTCCAATGAATATTCAGGACTGATTTCCTTTAGGATGGACTCGGATCTCCTTGCAGTCCAAGGGACTCTCAAGAGGCTTCTCCAACACCACAGTTCAAAAGCATCAGTTCTTCGGTGCTCAACTTTCTTTATAGTCCAGCTCTCACATCCATACATGACCACTGGAAAAACCATAGCTTTGACTAGATGGATCTTTGTTAGCAAAGTAATGTCTCTGCTTTTTAATATGCTGTCTAGATTGTTCATAGCTTTCCTTCCAAGGAGCAAGTGTCTTTTAATTTCATGGCTGCAGTTACCATCCGCAGTGATTTTGGAGCCCGAAAAAATAAAGACTCTCACTGTTTCCATTGTTTCCCCATCTATTTGCCATGAAGTGATTGGACCGAATGCCATGATCTTAGTTTACTGAATGTTGAGTTTTAAGCCAACTTTTTCACTCTCCTCTTTCAACTTTCATCAAGAGACTCTTTTTTTTTTTTTTGCTTTCTGCCATAAGGGTGGTGTCATCTGCATATCTGAAGTTATATTCCAGCTTGTGCTTCATTCAGCATTTCTCATGATGTACCCTGCATAGACGTTAAATAAGCAGGGTGACAATAAAGGCAAAGGAAAAAAAGGAAAGAATGCAGAGCTCCAAAGAATAGCAAGGAGCCTTGTCAATGTATGACAAAAACCACTACAATATTGTAAAGTAATTAGCCTCCAACTAATAAAAAAAAAAAAAGAAAGCCTTCCTCAGTGATCAAGGCAAAGAAATAGAGAAAAACAATCAAATGGGAAAGACTCGAGATCTCTTCAAGAAAATTAGAGATACCAAGGGAACATTTCATGCAAAGATGGGCACAATAAAGGACAGAAATGGTATGGACCTAACAGAAGCAGAAGATATTAAGAAGAGATGGCAAGAATACACAGAAGAACTATACAGAAAAGATCTTCATGACCCATATAATCGGATGGTATGTTCAATCACCTATAGCCAGACATCCTGGAATGTGAAGTCAGGTGGGCCTTAGGAATCATCAGTACAAACAAAGCTAGTGGAGGTGATGGAATTCCAGCTGAGCTATTTCAAATCCTAAAAGATGATGCTGTGAAAGTGCTGCACTCAGTATGCCAGAAAATTTGGACAATTCAGCAGTGGCCACAGGACTGGAAAAGGTCAGCTTTCCTTCTAATCCCTCACCTTCCTCCCCTGCCAAAAAAAAGCCCCATATTCAGGATCATATTCCTGGGATTTTCCCTCCAGATTCAATGATGGGAATCGGCATGAGAATGAAATTGTGAAACCTGTTTTTTTTTTTTCCACTCAGTAATTCCCCACTGCACAGACTTCCCTCCAGGGCTTTCCTCAGATCCGAGGCCCACCCTCACCACGCCTCCCAGCCAGGAAGATAGTTCTGAGAGGAGTGGGGGGTCTGGGGCAGGGGGGAAGGCGGGCCCGAGCCTCCACCTGAGCCAGTGGTCCAGTTGGCATTTCACCTGTAAACAAGTAAATGTTTACAAGCCTAAGGTCTTCTCTGCCCTCTGCCACACCCCCTCCCCAGCTTGCCCCCTCCCAGCCACCCTCCCTCCAGTCATTGCCCCTGGTTGTTTTCCTTGGCTTCTTCCCCTTCTCAGCTTCTCCCTCCAGTTGCTCAAAGCTCCTCTTCAAGACCAGCCTCAGGCTCCACGCTTTCCAAGGTTTCGGCCCTCTTCCCCACCCCACACCCACCCCAGACCCAACTGGACACAGTCGGTTATAATTGGCATTGTCCCTTTTAACATTAATCTAAAATTTTTCATTATATTCTGATTATACGAGGAAAGCACACACAGTGTAAAGAAATAATCTTAAAAACAAAGATGAAGGCGGAACTGTAATTCTCAGAGTGGTGGTTCCACTTGGGTGGATTCTATCCCAACAGATTCTGCGTTCCCCGAGTGCCCCTAACCCCCCGTCTCCCACCGCGTGGCCTCCCTGCTCCAGAGCAGCACTGAGTGACCTCCGCTGCCCGCCGTCTGACCCCTCTGCTGCGCCCCTCCCTCCCTCTGCTCCAGCGCAGCTGGTCCCCCAGCTACCGTCAGTCCCCCGGAAGTGAGCCAGGGCTCGGCTTCTTGCATCAGCCCCCGGGGTCTGTCTGTTGGTGTGATTCCTGCCCCCTCAGGGCCATCTTCACCTCAAATCCTACTGCTCCTCTGGGGCCTGGTTGGGTTTAGTCACTTCCTCCCCGAAGCCTTCCTTTGGAACTGCACACCATCACCATGGCCTCCCGCCCCGAAAGGTGGAAGGACCCTTTCTCCTCCAGGGCCAAGGCAAAGCCGAGATTCATTCAGGATTCATAGACCAGACAATTGCCTTCCTGAAGTCCCTTTTCCCCTCTAGCGTCTGGGTGTTTGCGGCAGTGTCTTAGTCAGGGTACAGCGTCTGGTACACAGGCCTGAGCCTGCTCTCTGGGGCTGGGGTGGCGGGAGAGAGCCGTTTGCCAGGACTGCAGAGCTCAGGAGTTGCGAACACCCTGGGCCTCCAAGGGCAAGGCCAGGCTGGGGATGGGGCATCCAGCAGATGGAGCTGGCTAGGCAGGCTGGATCGGCCCCCAACCCCCCCGGGGGCATCACGGCCTGGAGGCATACCCCGTAGGCTCCTACTTTTCCCTCCTGCCAGGTGTCAAGACCCAAGCCGGCCAGCCCACGGCCTCAGCCACCTGTGGGCCTCAGCTGTTGTGCTAAAGAACAGGCTGGGTCCTGGGCAGCACAGGTGCTGCTGGAGGAGTGGGGCGGGTGGCCTGTGTCCTCGGGATTTTGCACATGGCGTTTGAGCGGGAGAAGAGTGTCTGGTGTCCTCAGACATGGCTCCAGCTTCTGCCCCAAGGAGGCCGCCGGCTCTGTGCAAAGAGGCTGTCACTATTTCTGGGGCACCACCAGATGCTATAAAGGGGGAGGGTGATAAGGGCAGGGGAAGTGGGGGAACAGGGGAACCTCTGCTGACTCTGAGCTCCCACCCCATTATCACCAAGCCGGAGCCCGGCTGGCCATCTGTGGCGCCTGCCTCTCCCCTCCCAGCACAGCCTTGGGGTGGGTTATCTGCCTGGGGCACCACGGTGGGGTGTTTCCTGCCACCCTTCCTATCTTAGAAAGAGCCTGAAGGGGACGAGGCTATGGGCGCCTCCGAGTGGGGCAGGGGCGTACCCGCTGGGTGCCAGGAGCCGTTGTCTTCACAGCAGGAGCCTCGCCCTTCTTCAGGGCAGGCGCTCCCCACTCTTCATTCTCTCTGTGCAGCAGGTGAATGTCCCGTAAACAAATGGGCCCCAACAGCCTCCAAGGGCACCAGGGGATCGAAGCATCCTCTTATCAGACAGAACTGGCCTTGATCCTGCCTTCATCCCTTGTTGTCCAGGGGGCAAGAGTGAAGGCATGCGTAGGTGGGTGAGGGGGCAAATGCTCAACCAGACTTCCCTCCCTCTGCGCCTCCGCGGGTCAGCACAGCAGGAGTGTCCGGACTGACCGCACATCTGTCTGTGAGGGGGTGTCCACTGCAGCCCCAGGGCTGGGGCACAGTGTGGATTTCCAGGTGGCAGAGATTTCTTCCTTTTCTGAAGGGAAAGAGGACGGTCATTCTTCAGGGCCCTAGAGAGCACTGGGTGAGTGGGGCCCAGAGCCCTCTTGGAAGACGCCTCCCAGACACTGTGGGCGCAGGAAACCCAGGCTGGGCTTGCACAGTGGAGTCAAGGAAGCCCGTCTCTCCCCAGGTCTGCTACCTGTGCCATAGCCTCCTGACCCTGGCCGGGGTGGTGGTCAGCTGCCAGGACATTACTCCAGACCAGTGGGTGAGTCTCCCGAGAGGCTGCGCTGGGGCTGGTGGTGGAGGAGCCCAGCCCACTGCCAGGAACTGGAAAGAGTGGGAGGCAGAGAAAAAAGCAGGCCTGGGGGAGCTGGCCTCCTCCTCCTCCCAGCAGGCCTTCTGAAGGGATACTGACCCATGCCCCCGGTTGCCCATGCCTCCCCTCCCTTTCCCGCCCCACTGCTGAGCAGTCACTCAAACCCATTCTCCTCTTTCTCTGACTCCGTGCCCCCACCCCCCCGTGGCCTGCCCTCCCATGGCCTCTGCAGGGGGAGCTGCAGTTGCTCTGCATGCAGTTGGACCGCCACATCAACACCCATATCCGGGAGAGCCCCCAGGCCATGTATCGGACCACACTCAAGGACCTAGCTGCCCAGACCTACATCCGCTGGCAGGAGCTGCTGGCACGCTGCCAGCCCCAGGTGGTGCCCCCACCCTACCGCCCCCAGACTTGGAAGGGGAGGGAAGTGGTCAGTTGACTGACCAGAGCCCGCAGAGCGTCTACCCCCTCTGCAGCTGCCAGGCTCCTGGCTGGGAGATGGGGGGAGAGGGCAGTGGGGGGTTAGAGGGGGAGATGCATCCTCGGTGGACCACCATCTTTCTTATCAAGGGTCAAACACCCAGGATGGGGGTGCAGTGAGGGGGACACAGACAAGCTGACTCCTGGGTAAAGGCAAAGAGAAACTTCACCCCAGAGACAGGGAGGCGCCTAGAGCAGAGGGCTGCCAGGAAGGGACACCAGAGGCCCCAGCTGTCCACCCTCTGCCCAGCTGTCCTGCAGGCCACTCTGCTGGGAGGAACACACCCAGGCGGCCCTGGTTCCTCCCAATTTTTGTAGCAATCACCCTGCGCTCCTGATTTTCTCAGACTCTCTGTGTAATAATTGTTCATTTGCTCAGTCATGTCAAACTCTTTGCATGTGACCCCATGGGCTGCAGCAAGTCAGGTATTCCTATCCTTTACTATCTCCCAGAGTTTGGTCGAACTCATGCCCATTGAGTAAGTGATGCCATCCAACCATCTCATCCTCTGTCGTCCCCTTCTCCCGCCTTCAGTCTTTCACAGCATCAGGGTCTTTTCAAATGAGTCAGCTCTTCACATCAGGTGGCCAAAGTATTGGAGCTTCAGCTTCAGCATCAGTCCTTCCAATTAATATTCAGGGTTGATTTCCTATAGGATTGACTTGTGATAATATTCATAGCTAATATTCATTGAATAAAGATCCTCTTCTACATGAATCCACATAACTGCCCCCCTCTGTGAGGCAGGTATTGTTGTGATCCCATTTTACAGATGGACAAGCTAGCCAAGAGTCGCTGAGAGGTTAAACAGCTTGCTTCATCACACAGGCTGTGGCTTGCAAATAACAAGACCAGGGCACCAAGCCAGCCTGATTTGCACGCCTGCAGAATTAAGCACGGTCCAGCCCCTCTCTGGCAGCCTGGCTTCTGGCCTCTGTCAGTTCCTCCAACAAGCAGCCATCCCACCTCCAACCCCTGATAGAGATGAGCTGGGCCTCCTAAGAACTCCTGTCTCCAACTCCCCTCACACTGCTCCTGAGTCCCCAACTTTCCTTTCCCTCCATGCCCCACCCCTCAGCGGCCCGTAACCTCTGACTTGGGGCTGACACATCAGCCACAGGCTGTGGCTTGGGTCTCAGATTGCACAAGTCTCTGAGAAAGCTGGAAAGCAAACCTCACCCTCCACCCCTGAGGAACTAGATCACACTGGTCTCTGGTGGGAAGCGGTGTGCTTGTCATGAAAAGAAGGAAAAATGATTCGCGGCCTGGCCGAGCCAGGGCCAGGCCCTAGCTTCCTCTCACACTGCCCTGGGCCTGCAAGCTGGCAGTAGAAGGAAGCAAGACAGATCTGTGGTCGAGTGGCCTGTTGACCTGCCGCGTGCTCGCCTGGACAGGAGCCCCCGGAGCCTTGTGGCTTAGCGAGTGGCACAGAGAAGGCGTTGGTGGATGTGCAAGGGGCACTGGGGAGTCAGGGAACCTCAGGTCCGTGGGCCCCACCTGGGCCCAGACCGTCACACTGTTTTGCTCTTTGCCACAGGCCAGGTACTTCAGCCTCTGGGAAGACGTCTAGTGGAGCAGGGCAAGAGTGGCCCAGCGCTCCTGGCTCTGGCAAGAAGCGAACACAGCCTAGGTAACTGGAGGCATGAAGAATGGGGGCCGGGGGAAGACCAAGCAGTGGAAGCGAGTGCCTGCCTCCCCCGCTGCCCTGAGGCCAGCTGGGCAAGGGTTCTGCCTCTCGTCTCCAGCCCTTCCCCATGTCTCCGCTCCCCAAGGCCATAGTCTCCAAAACTCTGGTTTCCCCAGGCCTCCCGAGCCCTCCAGCCACCATCCTCCCCACCCTCCTCCACTTCTCCGTGTCACTTGTGTGAGGGTTCTTGGTGCACACAAAAGCCTCAGCATCAGTGGTTTAGAAGAGTTCCTTCCTCCAGTCCCTTACTGAGGGCTGTGCCCAGTGTCCAGTTTCCTGATTTCTCCGCTTGTGCTTTGCAGAATTCTCACCCAGAGCCAGTTGTATGACTGGGTCTTAGGCCCCACCCTGCCCCCTGCAGCAGAGGACTGTTTATTAAACCTGCAGGGTTTATGAACAGTCTTGGCTATGGCCTGAAAGCTGTCAGAAACCCCGGGAGCAGGGGTGGGGAACATCAGTTTGGACCAGTCTGAAACCATCCCCCTGCTGCCACTGGGGAAGAGCCATGAGGTGAAAAGGTAGATGAGGCCTGTAATTACCCTTAATTCGGTTTATTGTTGAGCTCTGAAATCAACTCCCGGACTTAGGAGTTGGGAGCGGGGGTGGTTAGTTCCCAATACTTTTTGTTTTCTCTTGGCCTTACCCACAATCAGGTTTTGTGGGCCCTGATCCCTGAAGGGGTGCTAGATGTCTTCAACCTGCTCCCTTTGAGAGCAGGTATCGTTCGGTACCCCCAGGATATCCATGGGTATCACTTTCTCTCTCTGCCCTGAGAATCCGTTGCTAGTCCCTGGACCTTCCCGAGCCTTTCTAGGTTGGAGGGGTTTTGCAGGGGCCACAGGGGTTGGAGAGGAGGAACCAGAGGTTGGACCCTGCGCACTGGGCCCGTGCCCGTGATCAGCTCAGCCCCTAGTGTCTGCCAGCGTTCACCATGGCTGTGCTTGTGACTTTTTCTGTTTATTTGTCCCTCTCCTTTGTTCTGTCATGCCAAGTTAAGGCTGGTTAAGTAGGGGAGAGACTCCCCCAAAATAAAGGACCTTCCAGTCCAAGTGCCTCAATTTGTAGACCCGAAGGGCAGCCCATCACTCCCTGGGCCTGTTGGAGGTCCTCACTGGGTCCCCAGAATGCTGGGAGCTGGTGTGTGGGCTCAATCGTTTAGTTGCATTGGACTCTTTGCAACCCTATGGACTAGCTCACCAGGCTCCTCTGTCCATGGGATTCTCCAGGCAAGAATACTGGAGTGGGTTGTCATTCCCTATTCCAGGAGATCTTCCCCACCCAGGGATCGAACCCACGTCTCTTGCATCTCCTGCATTGGCAGGTGTGTTCTTTACTACTACACCACCTGGGAAGCTGCTGGGAGTCAGGGACATCCATAATTCAAAGGGCACAAACTCACAGCAGGGTGCCAGGCACCATGCAGGTTGTCTCCCTGCCTCTCTGCCTTTGCCAGGTGAGAGGTAGAGAAGCTCTCTGCCAGGGAGGCTTGGAGGCCCAGGCAGCTTGCCTGGGAGTTCTAGTTTCTTTTCCTGGCCACGTCATAGGCCCCCTCGGCCAGGGCCGCTGAGGCCCCAGCAGCATCAGGTAGGCCTGAGATCCTCCGATAACTGAGCAGAGGCTGCGCCACCTCCTTCAGCCCCCTTCAGGGCGGCCCCCGCTCCTGACACCACACATCCTGACAGTTAATGCTCGGCTATTCAGTTTGCTCTGGAAACCTGGAAATCACCTGTGAAATTTCCCTTCTTTGTTCTCGCTGCCAAGGGAGGCCTAGGAAGCTGAAGTGGGGATTTTTCCAATTTCTCGAAGCTGCCCCTACTGGGCTCAGAGAAAGGGTTCGAGCTGTCCAGCTCAAGAACCCTTCCTCTCCAGGCCGGGTTCTTGTACACCGCCCCCTCCTCTCAAACACATTTATCCCCGAGAGAGAAATAGATACCAAGTAGAGAGGAGGTGTGGGTGACAGCTCAGGCCCTCCAGAGGCCTCACTGTAACTTGAGCAGAGGTGTGCACCTTGAGGTCACCCAAGGGCGTGCAGTATCCCCCGGGACGTATAACGGGCCCTATCTGGAACTGGCTTGGAGCTGACCAGATCTTCTAACATCAGTCTAGGACCAGTGAAAGAGTCAGCCTCCTTGAGGCCAAAAATTCAGTGATGCTGGCAACTTCACCATTCACCCTTTCCAGATCCCTGAGCGCCTGGGAAAAGGCTGGGGGATATCCTGATGGAGGCCACTGGAAACGCAGCATCCGGGGCTGTGATGACAGATGCTTTCCTGCTTCCTTCGGTGATGGTGGCAGGGAGGGGCTGGAAGGGAAGGGCTTCCCAGGTGGATGGCTTTGATAACCCTCCTTTAGGAGGAAGTGGAGGGAGGAAGTCCTTTTCCTCTGTCCCCGCTCACCTCGGTCCCCAGGCCCCCAGATCCCTGAAGGGTGGCTGACCCAGGCTGTTTCATTTCCCCACTGTGGGTTGACAAGCAGCTCCTGACTCCCTTGGAAGTTGGCCAAGCAGTGTGGACTAGAGAATCCCACTGTGAACCCTGGGCCCCCCTCCTGGCAAAAGGCAACCTCTGGCGAGCTGGAGTTAAAAGGAAGGGGCACCATGGCGGGTGACCAAGACATGGGGACAAGGGGGCCTAGCTATCTAGATAAGACTTCCAGATCTGTCTCTAGGGGCCAGCATGAGCTGCCAGTGGGTCCTTAGGGAACCTGGCGGGGGAGGGGGGGCGCATTTAGCACATCTGCCTTTTCTTGGCCACAAGCAGTTGAACACATAGGGTAAGTAAGAGGGTCTGTCAAGGCCTAAGGCATGAATGCTGGGCCCCTTCCATACGAGTGTGGTCAGTCACTTCAGTTGCACTGAAGTGCAAGCACTTCAGTCTGACTCTGCACGAACTCATGGACTGTAGCCCGCCAGCCTCCTCTGTCCATGGGATTTTCCAGGCAAGAATACTGGAGTGGATTGCCGTGCCCTCCTCCAAGGATCTTCCTGACCCAGAGATCCAACCCCTATCTCCTGCATTGGCAGGCGAATTCTGTACCATCTGAGCCACCAGGGAAACCCTCATTTTAAAGTATGAATCACCAGCAAATAGTCATGCAGGAAACTTTATCCCCTGCCCACCCACCCACGGAAAAGGCGAGCACTGGAAAGGAACAGAATCTAGCAGGAAATGAGCAAGGTAGAAAAGGGGAGCTGGCAAGGAGCGTTTGAAAGGGAAGGGCTCTGTGATGAGGAACCAAGAAGCCCTCCTTCAGCTACAGAAGACGTCCCTGCCAGTGAAACCAAATCTCCCTTCTTTCCACTGGGGCCAGTCTTGCAGTTGGGGCCAGGAGCTCAGGTCTTGGCCTGGTAACCCTCACACCTAGAGGTGAGGAAAGACAGCAGGAAACGAAGTGTCTGGCCTAAAAGTTGTCAGGCTATCCCATAACTTAGTGGAAAGATGGGATCAGGAGTCTTAAGGCCTGATTTAACATTCTGCCCTTGCTCGTTATCAGTGTGACTTTGGGCAGGCTATGCCTTTCTGACACCCATCTGATCTATAAAATGAGAGAAGCATTTGTAAAGGGCGGTCGTGAGGGCAGACAGAAGGCAGGTTGCAGTCTGGAGCGCAGACCCAAGTGTGAGGGTGCCCGCCTGCGGGTTTACCTGCCCTGAAATCAAGGAAGCAGGGTCGAACTGGGACTAGGGGGTCGCACATCTTCTCCCACCCTGTCACCTGGAACAGGGCCTTCCCTGCCCACCCCTGCTGATTCACTGACTTACCCCCTATCTCCATTATCTCCAAGGCCTCAGTTTTTTGGTTTTTTTCTTCTTTTTTTCTGGTGCAAAGGAGCTGGGAAATGTGGCTCTGGCCAGTGCGGGAGAAGGGGCCTTTATGTATACCAGCAAAGACCCAATTGTTACTGAATCCAAACTGGGCTGCTTTTCCCAATTATCTCCACTACTCTTCTGGTCTCCACTTTTTCTGATGCCAAGTTTTAACCCAGAACAAAAGCTCCTGTCGGCACTGATTTATAATCCAGATCTGCTGACAAGGCCCTAAAGGGTCCCTCCCCTCCAGGGCTGCACCATGCTTAAAGTTACCATCCAAGCCACTGGGCCGCCAGTCTCTTCACCTGGGCCCTTTGCCCCTAGCCAGGAGGTGGCATCTGTCTCCAGGTCCCAGTGGGGTGGCCTCCCTGGGGTTCCTCTGTTCACCTGCCCAGCTCAGAGGACTAGCTGGCAAGGACAGTCCAGCAGCACCCAGGAGGCCAGAGCTACAGGTACTTCTAGGAGCGGCTTGTGGGCGGAGGCTCGAGTCCCTCTCCAGCGTGGCTCCCCTCAGTCCCTTTCATCTGAACACCAGGGCTCCTGTCACTTGTTATTCAGCCTTCTAGCGGCATCAGAAGGAGTCATTTCCTGAGGGTAAGCTCAGCGCACCTGGAGTCGAGGGTTGTTTCACCCGGATCAGGACGAGGGGGTCGCTGAACGGGTCCCTTCTTCTGGAGCGTGAGAAACTAGAGGCACAAGGTCTCAGGAGATTTGGGGGAGGGGGTGTCGTCTTCCTGGCTGGTGAGGCCCGTCCGGTCTGATCGCAGGGGTCAGTGGGAGTTGAAGGAAGGAAACAGAATCGGGGGCCAAAAGACAGACCACTCTGGTGCGCCCCAAAGAGAAGCCTGGGATACTCTCCAGGAGGTGGCCTGCCCGCCTTCGTTTCAGTAACCATAGTGTGGGGAGCCTCTTAGACCCCTTCCCGAACCGGGCTGCCCAGCCCGCACGGTTGGCTTTGGGGGACACTTCGGAAAAACCGGGTGAGTCCGACACCCGCCTTGCTAGGGCCCGATGTCCCTCCCCCGCCCCACCTCCCGGCGCGGTGGCGCAGATCTCTGCTGCTGGGCCCGGGGCGGCCCGGCACCAGGAGGGGTGGGGGTCCGAGCCCCCAGGCCGGGAACAGGGAGGCGTGACGGCGCGCGGGCAGAGGCGGACCGTGGTCGGAGCCGAACGCGAGGGCGGCGCCCAGAGATTCAAGCAGCGAAGAAGAGGTGAGTGAGGCCGGGGTTGCACGGAGCCGGAGCCAAGGGCTCTCCGGGGCCGCCGCTTTGTCCCCAGACTCGAGCAGGGGACGCCGCACGCGTGAGGGACAGGGTCTGGGGGCGCAGGGAGGGGCGGCGGCCGGGACAGCTTTCCGCCCGAGCGCCTCCCTGCGCCCCCCGCGGACTGCTTCGCGGGGCCTCGGGAGCGGGGCTAGCGGGGCTAGCGGCGCCCGCAGCCCCAGGGTCCGGAGGCACGGACTGGCCAGGGGGAACGGGGCTCAGGGTGCGGGGGGTCCCTCGTACTGTCCGGTCCACGCCCGCGATCTTTTCCAGGCCCCCGAACTGTCCCCGGCTCCCCCACCCCCGACGGAAAGTTTGGGGCGGGCCTGGACGGAGGCCGATGTTATGAGATCGGATTTCCCTGCCGCGGCCCCCGGCCGCGCGCCCGCTCCGCTGGGGAGGCGGGCTGTCCTGGAAAGCCAGGCTCCGGAGCCGCGCCGCCCAGTCCCCGGCTGGAGCGCTAGCCCTGCAGCTGCTGGGGAGCCGTCCGCGGCCCGCCGCTCGGGGTGGGCAAGGGTGGGGGGCGCGCCGCCGGGACCCCGCACCCCTCTACACACCTCCACCCCCGGGGCTGCCCGTTTCCCCCGCCCTGGGAGGAGCAGTGCCGGCAGAGCCTCGGAGCGCGCTGCGGGGTCCGGCCTGGGCCTGGGGTAAGGAACCGAGGGAAGGCTGGGGGTGTGTTGGGGGGTGAGCGCATCCCCGAGAACTGGGCCGACAGGGGGCGTCCGTCGGTCGGGCTCCGCCACGCTCCCAGCGCCTCCGCTTTGTTTGCATTCAAATCCCCGGAGCTGGGGGAGGGGAGAATCGAGGGGAACCCGGGACGGGGTCCCGACTGGACCCTTTGCTTCGGGGTGAACAGATCCTCAGCTTCTGTGTCTCTGTGCCCTGGAGGGCCGGGACAGTGGAAATTAATCCAGACGGCCTACCCCGGCCGGAGTACCGGCGCGATCCCTGAGTTGGGAAGGCTCATCAGACCCCGGGAGAGCGCAGCAGGCGCTGGCCCTGCTCCGGTCGCCCTCGCAGTCCAGGAGGGAACCCCCGACGCTCCCCACCAAGCCCTCACTTCCCCCCGCCCCCGCCTGAAAGCGCCGCCGGGAAGATCCCTGATGAGACCAGAGATTTGTCCCGCGGCCCCTCAGCCCGAGGGCTGGTGTCTCCTAGGAGGCTGTGCGTGGAACAGAATGAAGCCCGGGTTCTTTACACGCCCATCCCATTCCACTTCCTGCCTGCCTTCTTGGGCAACAAAGGGGACTCGGGAAGCAGGGGGCCCCTCCAGCTCCCGGCCCCACTTCAGCCCTGTGATATGGAATGGGGTTTTGGGCTCTGCCCGGCTATTGTCTGCGCTGGGGGAGGGGAGAGGCTGGACCGCGACCCCCGCAGGCCTGATGCACCGAGTCCTGCCTGGGGGGCTTTTCCTACCGTCTGCCCCACTTACAGGTTCATCCCCTTTGGGCTGGCTGGAGCCCCAGCAGGGCCAGGTCCTGATCGCATAGGTTATTTTAAGAAATCCTTCGAATCTGTCAGGCCTGAGTAGGGGAGGAGGGTCCTCTCTTTATTTTCTTAAACAACTTCCTGTCGAGGAGAAGTGGGGGAGGGCCGGAGGATCTTTGAGTGTCCACTCTTCCAGCTGACTCAGCTCTCTCCGTCCCCTCAGGGAGACCCCTTGGTCCTTTGGAAGCTGTGGGGAAGAGGCCAGGTGTGGGAGGGGACTAGGTCGCTGCTCCCAGGGCTGGGGCAGTGCGGGGAGCCCCGGGGAGGCCTGGTCAGATCTTCTGTCCTCTGTGCCTCCTGGCCCGGCTTGTGTGGGCCCCCTTCCGGTCTGTTTTCTCTGGATGTGACTCTGACCCTTTCTTTTCCCCCAGCAGGGCAGCTGGCCTGGAGCTCAGAGCTGGGGCGTGTGCCATGGCCCCACACTGGGCCGTCTGGCTGCTGGTAGTGGAGCTGTGGGGCCTGGGCCTTGGGGCTGAGGTGTGGTGGAACCTGGTACCCCGGAAGACGGTATCTTCTGGGGGTGAGTGTCTGAAGGCTGGGGAGCAGGCGGCCAGGAGGGACTGCTGGGGGAAGAGGGGTGCTAAGGAATTGCCTTCTGGAACGTCTGGCTTTATTCTGCAGTTGGGCGCAAGGCCCTGATGTATGTGACACAGCTTTCTAAGAAATGTGAGTGAGTGACTCTAGGAACCCAGAACTGGTCGTCCAGGCCAGGATCTGGGGTGGCCCTCCTTACGCTTAGGACCTGGCTGCCTTGTTATCCAAGAGTGACCATTCTGCACCTGTCTCCCTACATCTCACTTCTGGAATTATCCCTAGCACTGAGAGCCTAAAGAGGGAAACCTGAGCCAAGATAAACACGAAGCAAAAGGTGCTACTACCCACTCCCAGGTCTTCAAGCTCTGTGCCCCCAGGAGCCCCCTTAGCAACCCGGATATGATAGACTCCCCCTCCTGCTGACCTGATCCTCCGACGCCCCGGACGGGGTGTGTGTGCACACGCTCCTGTGGGAGGGCACAGTGGGCCTGACAGCCCTCTGTGCACACACTCCTGTATGCAGAGGTGATGTCAGGTGTTTGCGTCGTGCGCTCTGGGGACCCGGGATGAGCTCACCTCCCACAGGCTCCTCTCAGTGCTAACGAAGCCCTCCCTTGCTGGTCTGTGTCTGGGCCCATCGTTGGCTCCAAACACTAAGGATGGTTTAGGGGGACCCTGGGGACAGTCCAGCAGCTATTTGGGGGTTGACAGGAATCCTGTGGCTGCATGAATGTCGTGGCCCCCTGCTCGACGGACGGCAACAGGTCTCCCCAGCCCCAAGGCTGTGGCACCATCTCTGGCCCCCAGCCTCTGCTCTCCCCCGCCCTCCCTGCCCTGGTCTCCCAGCCTGATTCCGTCTCCACATCCCATGGCCGGCTCTGCTTGTACCCCTCGCAGCCTGCATTTGGGACCCACTGGAGGGAAGGGTTCTCTCAGACAAGGAACGCTCGCAACTTCCGTCCATCCTGCCTGGCTGGATCAGGGGCCAGGGCAAGGCTGGACCCTGGTGGGGGCAGTGTGCAACAGAGCAGAGAAGGAAGCCGCAGCGGAGGAAGCGGGGGTGGCGGGAGGTGGGGCGGCGGGATGGGGAGGTGGCGACTGACCCTGAGAGTGAGAGCCATCAGTCTGATGGTTTCCTCTGGCCGGAAGCTGTGGCTGAGATATCCTTCCTTCCTCCTCTCCAGCCCAGATTTACCTCCCTGGGTGGGGAAAGCCAGGGAGGCCTGGGTGGAGCTGTCAGTCAAAAAGCCTATTCAGAAAATGCCCTTTATTGCTGGTCAGAGGAGCTTGGCTGGCATCTGCTTGTGGGGTGCTGGCTCTAATGTGCAGTGACTACTGCATAGAAGAGGGCTAATTCTAGGGGAGAGGGCATGCCTGGAGTCCCAGGAAGGTCCACTTACCCCAGCCCTGGTCACTCCGGCCTTGTCCCTGCAGAGCTAGCCACGGTGGTGCGGCGCTTCTCCCAGACAGGCATCCAGGACTTCCTGACCCTGACCCTGACCGAGCAGACGGGGCTCCTGTATGTCGGGGCCCGGGAGGCCCTGTTTGCCTTCAGCGTGGAGGCTCTGGAGCTGCAAGGAGTGGTGAGAGGTGGGGGAGTGGGAGGCACATGGGGGAGAGAGGCAGGACCTGGGGGCTTCGCTTGGACAGGCTGTCCCCTCAGCTTGGCCGCCCCCACCCCATTCTCCCTGGTGAGCATGTCGCTTCGCCCGAGAGTCTGCAGTACTCGCTGGGACCGCTGCGCTGGGGTAGCTGGGGCTCTGGTCCTCTCTGGAATAAGCCCAGAGAGTGGGGACACTGTCTTCTCACTTGGTGTCCCCATGTTGTTGCCACAAGCCGCACTGATGACACATACTTGGTGCGTACCTGCAGCAATGCTGACGCGTTCCCTCCCTATCCTCAGATCTCATGGGAGGCGCCAGCTGAGAAGAAGGCTGAGTGTATCCAGAAAGGGAAGAATAACCAGGTTGGCTCTCTGGGACCTGCTGGGGGCCGGGGGGTGCATGGGGCATGCTCTTTCCCCTCCGTCCCGGTGCTGGTCTGGGTCCCGGGGTCCCTGTGTTCCGGATACTCAGACTTTAACAGATGCCTCTCTGTCCCCAGACGGAGTGTTTCAACTTCATCCGCTTCCTACAGCCATATAACACATCCCACCTGTACACGTGCGGTACCTATGCCTTCCAGCCCAAGTGCACCTACATTGTGAGTGCAGCTCCTCTCCCCAGCCCCAGGCCTGGCCCTGTTGCATTCTCATGGCCTTGTCCCCACCCCTAGGACATGCTCACCTTCACCCTGGAGCGGAGCGAGTTTGAGGATGGCAAGGGAAAGTGCCCCTATGACCCGGCCAAGGGCCACACCGGCCTCCTTGTGGGTGAGTGGCTGTCTCATTGCAGGTTGGGGGTTCCTAGGACTTGTTCCCACTCTGGGACCACCTGGCTTGAGTGTCTGCACCTCGCTTCTGCATGGGCTGACCCCGTGTCTGTTGTAGACGGTGAACTGTACTCGGCCACGCTCAACAATTTCCTGGGCACAGAGCCAGTCATCCTGCGGAACATGGGACCCCATCATGCCATGAAGACGGAGTACCTGGCCTTCTGGCTCAACGGTGAGCCCTGAGAAGCCAGCTAGGTGTGGGAGGTGCCTGGAGGGCCCGATGTCTGGGCTGACCCTCCTCCCCTTCCCCCCCAGAACCTCATTTTGTGGGCTCTGCCTACGTCCCGGAGAGCGTGGGCAGCTACACGGGGGACGACGACAAGGTGTACTTCTTCTTCAGCGAGCGCGCGGTGGAATACGACTGCTATGCTGAGCAGGTGGTGGCCCGCGTGGCCCGCGTCTGCAAGGTACAGACCGCCGAGGCGGGCAGCCCTGGGTGCCTGGCCGCCCGGCGAGGCTGACCGGCCGCGCTGTCCCCATGCCGTTCGGCAGGGCGACGTGGGGGGCGCGCGGACGCTGCAGAGGAAGTGGACCACGTTTCTGAAGGCACGGCTGGTGTGCTCTGCGCCCGACTGGCAGCTCTACTTCAACCGGCTGCAGGCGCTGCACACGCTGCAGGACGCCTCCTGGCACAACACCACCTTCTTCGGGGTTTTCCGGGCGCGGTGGTGAGCTGACCAGGAGCCCACGGGGGTGGGGGGGAGCAGGTCCGTGGGCTAGGGATGGTTGAAGGGGCAGGCCTCTGGGGGAGGTCCTGAGGGTCAAGGAGGGTGTTGGGCTCCTGCCCTTTCCACCACCCCTCTGTGAGCGGTGCCCCCAGGGGCACTTTGAGCTGCCACCACACCACATGTGGCCATGGCCTTATGGTGTTTGGGCCCTCCCTTTCTGCTGCACGCCCTGAGCTGTGGGCACCCCAGCTCTGACCCTTGGGGTCCCTCCCTTGCTGTGACAGGGGCGACATGGACCTGTCAGCAGTCTGCGAGTACCAGCTGGAGGAGATCCAGAAGGTGTTCGAGGGGCCCTACAAGGAGTACCATGAGCAGGCCCAGAAGTGGGGCCGCTACACGGACCCCGTCCCGACCCCGCGGCCCGGCTCGGTGAGTCATCCCAGGCAGGGATGCGTGTGCATGTTCTCCGCTCTGGTGCCTTCCCCTCTGGGCTGACAGCTGCCCCCCAAACCCTGCCCACCCCCCAGTGCATCAACAACTGGCACCGACGCCACGGCTACACCAGTTCCCTGGAGCTGCCCGACAACATCCTCAACTTCATCAAGAAGCACCCACTGATGGAGGAGCAGGTGAGGCCTCGATGGGGCCGCCCCCTGCTGGTGAAGAAGAATGCCAACCTCACCCACCTGGTGGCCGACCGGGTCTCAGGGCTTGACGGGGCCACCTACACGGTGCTGTTCATTGGCACAGGTGGGTACGGGCGTGGCAGCTTGGGGCTAGGTGAAGGCCTGCGTGCCCAGGCAGGGAGATCCAGAGACAGCCCCAGCCCAGGACCCTGCTGCCCTTTTCCTGACACCTGTTCCCCCCTACCCCTACAGGAGACGGCTGGCTGCTCAAGGCCGTGAGCCTGGGGCCCTGGGTTCACCTGATCGAGGAGCTGCAGCTCTTTGACCAGGAGCCTGTGGAGAGCCTGGTCCTGTCCCGGAGCAAGGTAACCGTCAGGCCCCACCCACTGTGTCCCCCCACGGTCCCCAGTCGAGTGCTTGGCCAGTCCAGGGGCGGGGAGATGTCCGAGAGAGGAGCGAGAACGCTACTGGAATCTGCACTCTGCAGGCTTCCTATCTTCTATACAGCCCAGTCCTGACGGCGCTTGGCAGCTGTTTTCAGGCCCCTCGGGGGGACTGCGCTGCCGCCCGCCAGGCCTCGTGCCACTTTGGCTCCTGATGCCCTCGTGACGTCTCCTTGCCTGCCAGCCCCGACCCCCGGCGCAGTCAGCAGTTCCCTGAAGTGCTGCTCGAAGCTTCCCTTCCCCAGCCTCTCTGCCCGCGTGTCTGTGGCACTTTGACCTGCTTGGCTTTTCCCAGTTCTGGAGGCTCAGGTTGTTCCCAGAATGGGGAATCCTGGCAGAAGGAAAGCCTGTAGTTGCAGAAGCACACGGATTGGTGATCTCCATTGAAACAGAGGAAAACGCCTTATGCTTTGCTGGTGCTATTGTAAGGCTGACGGGATCTGCGGAAACTGAACTTCCTGCGCTATTTATACTATTCGGGAGCCGTGTGTGTGTGTGTGTGTGTGTGTGTGTGTGTATTTGAGAGTGTGTGTGAGTGGGGGGGGACTGTGTGTGTGTGTGTATGAGGGTGAGTGGGTTTGTTTGTGTGCTGTGTGTCAGTGTGAGAATGTATGTACATGGGTGTGAGTGAGCAAGCACAAGGATGCTTCTCGGCCTCACAGGTCTGCTGTTCCTTTCTAACAAGGTCACGGCTGTAAGGGGCTTAGGATTGCTCCTGGCTTATAGTAAGCCCTCCATGCCTTCCCAGCCCTCAGACTTCCCGCTTTGGGACGTGCGCACAGCCCACTTCCTGCTTCGGGCCCCAGTGCCCGGCAGTCATCCAGGCCCCCGCCCCGGGCCGTGTCGGGCCCTGGCTCAGCCTCCCTCCTGTGCTTCTCTGGCAGAAGCTGCTCTTCGCGGGCTCCCGCTCCCAGCTGGTGCAGCTGCCCCCAGCCGACTGCATGAAGTACCGCTCCTGTGCTGACTGTGTGCTCGCCCGGGACCCCTACTGTGCCTGGAACGCCAACAGCAGCCGCTGCGTGGCCGTGGGCGGTCACTCCGGGTGAGGGGGGCTTCTGCGTGTGCGGGGACCAGCGGGGAGGGCAGGTGGCTGGAGCCGGGACGCTGACGGATCCCTCTTTCCCCACCAGGTCTCTGCTGATCCAGCACGTGACGGTCTCGGATACCTCGAACATCTGTAATTTCCGGGGCAGTAAGAAAGGTGAGCTGTTGTCTTAGTCTTTCTTCCAGGGTGTACAGGCCTTGGGGAACCAGAACTGGGGTGTCTATGTCCCCCCCCTCGGCCTGGGCTTCTTGCACCCCACTGACTCTCGTTTTCTCTGCCGCTGCAGTCAGGCTCACGCCCAAAAACATCACGGTGGTGGCGGGCACAGATCTGGTGCTGCCCTGCCGTCTCTCCTCCAACCTCGCCCACGCCCGCTGGACCTTCGGGGGCCGCGACCTGCCCGCGGAGCAGCCTGGCTCCTTCCTCTACGATGCCCGGCTGCAGGCCCTGGTGGTGATGGCTGCCCAACCCCGCCACGCGGGCACCTACCACTGCTTCTCGGAGGAGCAAGGGGCCCGGCTGGCTGCCGAAGGCTACCTCGTGGCCGTGGTGGCGGGCCCATCGGTGACGCTGGAGGCCCGGGCCCCGCTGGAGAACCTGGGGCTGGTGTGGCTGGCTGTGGTGGCCCTGGGCGCCGTGTGCCTGGTGCTGCTGCTGCTGGTTCTGTCCCTGCGCCGGCGGCTGCGCGAGGAGCTGGAGAAAGGTGCCAAGGCGGCCGAGAGAACCCTGGTGTACCCGCTGGAGCTGCCCAAGGAGCCCACCAGCCCCCCCTTCCGGCCCGGCCCCGAGACGGATGAGAAGCTCTGGGACCCTGTGGGCTACTACTACTCAGACGGCTCCCTCAAGATCGTGCCTGGCCATGCCCGGTGCCAGCCTGGCGGTGGGCCCCCCTCGCCGCCCCCCGGCATCCCCGGCCAGCCCCTGCCTTCTCCGACGCGGCTCCACCTGGGAGGTGGCCGGAACTCCAACGCCAACGGCTACGTGCGTCTCCAGCTGGGAGGGGAGGACCGGGGCGGCCTCGGGCATCCTTTGCCCGAGCTCGCGGACGAACTGAGGCGTAAACTGCAGCAGCGCCAGCCACTGCCGGACTCCAACCCCGAGGAGTCCTCAGTATGAGAGGGGCCCCTCCGGCGGCAGCCTGGCAGGCACGGCTCCTACATTTTTGCACAGGCACCAACTACCTCAGGGACATGGCGTGGGCAACCTGCTCTGCCCGGGACAGACCCTGCCCGGCACCGCCCGGCCATGAGGACCTGCTCTGTCAGCACGGGCACTGCCACTTGCTGTGGCTTACCAGGGCACCGGCCTTGCAGAGGGCACCTTCCTCCTCTGTGAGAGGCTGTGAATCACGGACGCGTGGGACCCCAACAGCCAAAACCTTTCAAGGCAGAAGTTGCAGACGTGGGTGTGTTTGTGGACACACGTGTGTGAATGTAGATGTGTGCACATACGCACTTATGTTCGTTCGTGTGTGTGTGTGTGTGTGTGTGTGTGTGATGTAGTCTTCCTGTTTCTGTCAAGTCTTCCCTTGGCCTGGGGTCCTCCTGGTGGGTCATTGGAGCTATGAAGGGGAAGGGGTCGTATCACTTTGCCTCTCCTGCCCCCACCTGTCCCCAGTAGGGGGCAGCCATGTACATATGGGGGTGGGCTGGGCAGGGTGCTGGGCCCCTTTGTGGGAATCAGGGCTCTGGGGTGGGGCCTGGTCCTGCTCCCAGGGCTATGAATGTTTTCAGGGTGGGGGGTGGGGAGATGAAGCCTCCTGTGTGTTTGGGGTAAGGGTTGGGAGGGGGCCCCCCACTTGGCCCTGGGGTTCAGTGGTATTTTATACTTGTCCTCCCTGGCAGGGCTGGGAAAGGTTGTGTGTGGGGGGGAGGGGGGAGGGAAGGCGAGAGGGGTGGGCATGCTGTGGATCTGGCATATCCTCTCCCAGCCCTAGGAGGAGGGCTCCCAGCAGTGTAACTTATTGTGTCCCCACGTATTTATTTGTTGTAAATATTTGAGTATTTTTATATTGACAAATAAAATGGAGAAAATGAAACCATTCCTGTCGTGGAGATGAGACACTTGGGCTGAAACCTTCTGGGTGCCCAGAGGGAGGCTCCCTCACCCCTGTCCACCCTCACAAACCACACCCTCTTGCGCCGTCACCCTCAGTCCGCCCCTTCAGGGGTCCCCCTCTGGCTTGTGCCCCTCTCTAGAGAGGGGTCCTGCGACCCCAGGCTCCAGTGTTTTCCCACAGAGGCGGGTCAGGCTGGGAACCAGACCAGGGCCACAGCCTCTGGGGAGCCAACCATGGCTTCTGGCCAAAGGGAGAAGTCAGGGCTTGGGGAACAGAACCAGTAGACGGGAGGGGCCTGGCTTCCCAGTCCTCTGGGAAGGGGAAAAGGGAGTGGGGGCCGTGGAGAGGAGCTTCCTAGAAGCAGCTTAAACTTGTGCTCGTGTGAGGACGGGGCTCCCCACCAGTTTAGGGGAAGAATGATTCCTTTGCGCCTTTATCCTCCAGGAATGTTAGTCTTGAATGCTTCAGATAACCACGCAACATGGGAACTTCACTGCCTCCAGTAGGCACCGAGCCCCTTTGCTATATAGGAAGGAGCCTGTCCAGGGCCAAGATATTCTTAAGAAAACCAGGACCTAGCCTGGCTTCTATAATTCACGCCCACACACAGGCAGTGGAAATGAAGAGTCCTCTGTACCCTTGACCAGTCTGGGGGGCCTGCTGTGGCTGGAACAACCTGCTGCCAGGGTTCTGCTGTAATAGAGGCCTGGCATCTGCTGATTTGAGCAGCTAGCTTCCTGCATGGTCAGTAACCCACAGCCGAAGGAAGTTGATTCAGTAAATTAGGTGCCCACTGGGGGGATGACGGTTCCAATTTCTTTTCCCTGCCCCCCTCCCAGCCCCTACCCCGGGCCTACTTGCTTTCAGGAGCCAATACAAGTTGTAGCCATCTGCCTCCCACGGCATTTCAAGAAGTGGGCAGCAGGGACGAGAGGAAGGAGGGGGTCTTGGCCTTTCAACTGGTCACCGCGCGGCCGTGGGGACCCATCAACCTGAGCCCGAGATGGTGGGGGAAAGAGGTGGGGAAGGGCCTTGGGGCCCGCCTGGTGACCCCCGACCCTGGGGATCCCGGCGGGACGAGGAGAAACTGGAGGGGGTCACATCCATGGCCGGCTGCCCTCCCCCAGAGTCGGTCCTAGGTCTCAGCGGGCGCGCCCGGGCCTCCGCTTAGCCTGGGACGCCCTCTCGTGGCCGCTTCGGGCCGGCGCGGTCCCGCCCTGCCGTCGCGATTGGCTCCCGGGCCCAGCCTCAGACGCTTGATTGGCCGGCCCCGGGGTTCGTGCGGACGCCGAAGGGTCAGACCGGGCGGGTACGCCGAGGCCGCGCCCATGCCGGCCCGTGGCGGTGCCCGCGCCCGGCAGCCGGTGGGCGGGCGCGGAGAGCGACATGGCGGCGCCGCGGCCCTGCGCGGATGGGCCCTGCTGCTCCCACCCCAGCGCGGCGCCCGGCGTGCAGCAGACGCTAGACGAGATGGACTTCGAGAGGGGTGAGGGGGCGTGCGGCTCTGCCGGCCCGGCGCCTTCCGGCGTCCGCAGGCCCCCAGGGCCAAGGAGGTGGCCGTGAACCGGGATCCCTAGAGGGAAGCGGGTGGGGGGTGGGAGCGGGCCTGGTCGGAGCGCGGGCCGGCTGTGGGCTCGCAGCTCCCGCGTAATGAGAGCCCGCCGGGGCCCTGGCGCGAGCTTGGCAATAGAAACGCTGGTTCGTCTGCAGGTCGGGAAGCAGGCAATGGCTTCGGTAACTTTCCCCAGTGGTGCGGCGGGATCCGACTCCCCACCTGGTGCCACCCCGGGACACCCAGGCCTGCTCCGGGGTCTGAGAGGGGTCGGGCGGCAGAGTCTGCTTCCAGGGCACTGCACCCAGCCGGAGGGTATGGAGCTTCAGACCAGGGGGCTGCGCTGCTCCGGGCTGTATGTCGGGCACTGCAGGCATCAGATAAGGCAGATGGCCTCCAGGAGCGCAATGTCATCCTTACGTGTGCGTCCAGCGGGGTGACTCCTTTGCCCCAGACCATCCGTGGTGCCCTCGGCTGTGTGCACAGAGCCTTGCTCTGTCTGGTTGCCCACCACCCACACGGCCTGCCGCATTTGCCCCCGACTCTGCTCAGGCCTTCCAGCCAGAGTCCCTGAGCTGCGCGTGGGGCTCCGAGGACTCAGGGTCCCACAGACTAGATGCCTGCTCACCCCTGTGGCTGTGGTTTTCTCTGCGGGCTGGCGCCTGACAGTGTTTGGTTGTGACTGTGTATTCAAGCATCTTAAATAGCACTCTATCCAGCACTGGTGTGTTTGAAGTGGGGCAGAAGGGAGGTTGTGTCTGGCCAGTCTCCTGTCCTGGGTAGACAAGCCCCTGGTCTGTCTGGCTCACAGCGATGTCTCCAGCACCTCTCACAGTGCGCAGCACCCCTCAGAGGAGGTGCGCAGCTCACATTTGTTGAGCAGACGAATTCCCATTTGGTAGATGAGAAAGAAGACAGGTCGAGAGGTGAGGGAAGTGCCAGGAGCCCCCAGTCCGTGAGCATCATTCAGTGCTTGGGTTGTGCCTCTGCAGGAATCTGGTCGGCAGCCCTGAACGGAGACCTGGGCCGAGTGAAGTATCTAATCCAAAAGGCAGCGGACCCCAGCCAGCCTGACTCCGCAGGCTACACGGCTCTAGTGAGTTGGGGAGGGGCCTCAGCTCTGGGTTCCTGCTCGCTGGGCAGGGATAATGTTTGCCTTTTCCCTTCTCGCACTGTTTCTTCTCTCCCAGCAGGGTTTCTGTTTAAGCATCTTATGAACCTGGGTATTTTTAGTTAGCAGAGGTGTTTTTCACTGATTGTTTACTATCATTTTCATAATGGTAAAGAATCCACCTGCCAATGCAGGAGACGTGAGAGACCTGTGTTCCATCCCTGGGTCAGGAAGATCCCTTGGAGAAGGGAATGGCAACCCACTGTAGTATTCTTGCCTGGAAAATCCCATGGATAGAGGAGCCTCTTGGGTTACAGTCCATAGGATCGCAAAGAGTTGGACACAACTGAGTGACTAACACTTTGACTTTTCACTTTCATAACGATACTGTGAGGTAGGATTGGTAATTATTGAAACTTCCCTGGCAGTCCAGTGGTTAAGATTTCACCTTCCCATGCAGGAGCACGGGTTCTATCCCTGGTTGGGGAACCAAGATCCCACATTCCTGGGGACTGCTGAGTCCAAATGCTGCCAGGAAAGATCCCGCATGCCGCGACCAAGGCCTGACAACCCCAAAATAAATAAATATGTTTTTTAAATGGAATGGTTATTATTCCCACTGTCCAGTGGCTGAAGCAGAAGCTAAGCATGCAGGCTCGCCCTGCTCACCCGGCTGCCAGAGGGGGCTCCAGCCGCCGCTGCACCCCTCACCCAGGGTTCTGTCTCCTGACCCTGGCTCTGTTCACTGCAGCACTATGCCAGCCGCAATGGGCACTATGCCGTGTGCCAGTTCCTACTGGAGAGTGGGGCCAAGTGTGATGCCCAGACCCACGGGGGAGCCACCGCCCTGCATCGCGCCAGCTACTGCGGGCACACGGACATTGCCCGGCTCCTGCTCTCACACGGCTCCAACCCCAGGCTGGTGGACGCCGACGGCATGACCAGTCTGCACAAGGTGCGTCCCCTCTCAGAAGTTTCACAGGCTGCAAGAACTTCTTGTCTCTTATCATTATAAAAGTTAGAACACGGGAATTCTCTGGCTGTCCAGTGTTTAGGACATGGCACACTCACTGCTTGGGCCCAGGTTCCATCCCTGGTCAGAGAACTAAGACCTCACAGGCCAAAAATAAAAAAGGTATAACATGTTCATGGTAGAAAACATGGGGATAACAGAAAAGCATAAAGTAGAGAATTGGGATCATTTGTAATCTCACTGCTCACCCATCATCACTTGAGGATTAACATATAATTTTCCAGCGAGTTTCCTGTGCACGTAAATTAGTACGAAACATAAGGTGTCATTTTCTTTCTTAGTGATGCATCCTCAGTGCTGCTTCACATAGTTTTCTGAAACTTGAACCTCCCCTTGCCTGTCCCTCTGGTCCACTTTCCACACTGACCGGAGTGATCATTTAATTAGAAGTTTTCTGCCTAGAAACATGTACCCACAGTGAACAGCTTGAGACGTACAGAATACCTGCTCTGGACACAAATTTCGCTCCCTGCCCCCCTTCCCGGTAGCTCAGTCTTCTGGGTCACTTTATTGACTGGGGAATTTCTACAGAAATTTAACACCTGCGGCTGGCGATTTTTCTTTTGGCCCAAAATTAGTTCTGTTATTTCACCAACACTTTGCAAGTTATTTGCCACTTCCCAGGTGGCACAGTGATGAAGAATTCGTCTGCCAAGGCAGGAGATGTGGGTTTGATCCTGGGTCAGGAAGATTTCCCCTGGAGGAGAAAATGACAACCCACACCAGTATTCTTGCTGGGAAAGCCCATGGACAGAGGAGGGGTCACAAAGAGTCGGATGTGACTGCGCACACGCATTGTGGGTTATTACATTCAGTAGTTACATTGGACACACCTGTTAAGTCTTCTCATTTTGGGGAAATGTTGTCTTCAGTCCACTCTGCTATAGAAGCAAAGGAGCATTCTCTCTTTTTGTTGGTCTAATATTCATATCATCTGAACCAGAACTTTATTCTGGAGAACTGGCATCTTCTTAGACACTAGCATATGTGTCACTTGGAGGATTGGAGAAAGTATCTTCATAAAATTCACCAAAAAATTCTTCACTCAAAATTTCTCGATGCATCATTTTTGAAAATTTTATGTTTATGATATATACAGCATTGGGATAGGAACCTAACGGAGCACAATGTGAATGATGATGACGATTATGTTATATAATGAACCCTGATCAGTTCTAAACTCCAACAGGGCACAGTGATGTTAATTGTATCACTGTCTGAAAATGTATTGATATGTCTCTGGTCAGTCATGTGTTAGGGCATCCCCTTTTGCCGATTTCTTGTTTATCTTTGAAAGGCAGTTGATGCATCCGTAAAACCTGTGTGTATAATCTGGTCCTCTCTTAGCCCACTTGATCTTCTCCCAGAGCGATGGTTTAAAGCGCAGTTCGGACCACACCATGCCTTAGAGTCCTCTGAAGGCTTGCTTCTATGAAGTCCTTACACTGGTTAACAGGCCTCCTGGGGTTGGCCCCTGCCTACCTGTCAGCTTGTCCTGAGCTCCCTCCTGGCCCCTTGCCTGTTACACTCAGGTCCTGCTAGTTGTCTTCAGTTTCTTTCTTTCTTCTTCAAGTAATTTTATTTTGGTTTTTTTTGGCTGGGCTGTGTGGGCTTTTCTCTAGTTGCAGCAAGCAGGAGCTACTCTTCATTGTGGTGAGCAGGCTTCTCATTGCAGTGGCTTCTCTAGTACTGGAAGACAGGCCACAGAGATGTAGGCCTCAGTGCTTGCAGCTCCCAGCTCCAGACCACAGGTCCAGTCATTGTGGTCGACGGGCTGTTGCTCCTCGGCGTCTGGGATCTTCCCAGATGAACCCGTGTCACCTGTGTTGGCAGCAGATTCTTAACCAGTGAGCCCCAGGGAAGCCCCCGTCTCCCGTCTCTTGAACCCACTTCTGTATCCCTTGCAGACCACAGGCAGCGGCTCCTGCTGTCCGCAGGCCTCTCCACCCCCTTTGCTGTCTGGCTTGTGTCTGTTCCTCTTTCTGGACCTCAGCTTCCACATCACACGCTCAGAGAGCCTTCCTCTTCCTCGCGAACGGCAGCTCCCCTACCCGGATGCCCGGAGCACCCTGCACCTGGCTCCTCCTGCCTCTCTTCCCTCTTGGAGCCCCTCTTCATGATCTCTGCCTCTCACTGGGGCAGCTGGAGTTGGCCTCGTTTCCTCCTGCAGCCCCAGCACCAGGCTCAGATGCCGAGAGAGCAGCTGGGGGCCCTTTTGTGTGCAGACCCTTGCCGGTTGGCGAGGCAGATTGCTCATTTCCCAGTGATCTGAACCGATGTTGCTTGAGTGTTTCACCACCACAGCTCCCGTGATGAGTGTTGACAGGCAGGACACTGCCGGGGACAGACCCAGCTGCTTTCACCCACGGCTTGCAGCATTCTCTAGAAATTCAGAGAACGAGTATGTGTGAGGAATATGAATCATCCAGCCCTTCCAGCCTGCCTGCCTCCCTCCCTCCTTCCCTTCTGCAAACGTTGGTGCCTTGTGTCTTTTTTGCTAAAAATTATTTGGAATTCGTCTCACAACGGCTCATAACTCACCTGCCTGAATGGAAGCAATAATCAGAACCCTGGGTCTGTTCCCATCAAGATATTTATGCCTAGTAAAGATTTAATTCATATTTGAGATGGTGTTGGGCACTAATATTTGATACCCTTCAGGAGCCCTTGTCTGTTGGGAGAAGTGGGGAGTAGAGTGATACAGCTATCGAGAGCCCGAACTTCGGGGTCAGACAGACCTGACTTAGAATTCCCCAAGCTGCTGCACTAGCTCTGTGACCTTGGACAAGTTACTCAACTTTTATAAGCCTCAGTTTCTTCATCTATAAAATAGAAACAACGGTATTTCTTACTTCTGATGGTTATTGGAAACATTGAACAAGATAATCTGTGTAAGTCACCTAACCTCTGATCTTTTTTGGAGGATGTGGGTTAGAATTGACATCCGAATGGTTTGTCTCAGAGGGAAGAGGAGAAGCCTGGGTAGTAGACCTGGTTCTCTCTGCTCGTCTGAAAGTCCCCAGGACAAGGGCCCTGTCTGACGTGTCGTCTGCCCATGGCGCCCCTGTAGACAATACGCGTGTTCGTATAGATGCTCAGAAATCCAAGGCTCTATACTTGTTCTTTTTTTAAATTTTATTGTTCTTTGGTGTGCTGGGTCTTTGTGGCTGTGTGCGGGCTTTCTCTAGTTGTAGTGGGTGGAGGCTCTCTAGTTGTGCACAGGGTTCTCGTTGCGGAGCATGGCTCTAGGTGTGTGGGCTCAGTTGCTCTGTGGCATGTGGATCTTCGTGGACCAGGGATTAAGCCTGTGTCCCCTGGACCACTGAAGAAGTCCCTGCACTGGTTCTTTTTCTTTTTTCCTTTTTGGCCGCACCTGGTGGCATGCAGGATCTTAGGTCCTTACCAGATCCCTGTGGCATGTGGAATTTTTCTGGACCAGGGATTGAACCTGCACCCTCTGCAGTGTCAGTGCAGAGTCCTAACCACTGGATGGCCAGGGATGTCCTCTGTCCTTGTCCTCAATGTGCAGGCTTGAGCAAAGAAGCATGGCCCCTGAGCAAAGGGCACAGGAGGGAGAGCTCCAGCTGACTGCCCGAGCGGCACCGGGCGCCCCACCACCGTGCACATGCATCATTGACAGGAGTCAAGGGAAACCGCTCAGCCAGCCGGCAAGACCTGTGCTAGGACCTAAAGAGCCCCAGACGTAGAGCAAGAAAGCGGGGCATAGTGGGGCCCAGCTTCTGATCGGCTCCTCTCCCTGCAGGCCGCCGAGAAGGGTCACGTGGACATCTGCTCCCTCCTGCTGCAGCACAGCCCGGCCCTGAAGGCTGTTCGGGACCGGAAGGCCCGGCTCGCCTGCGACCTGCTGCCTGGCAACAGCGACCTGCGGGACCTGCTGGCCGGCTGAGTCGCCGCCCAGTCTCAGACAGCGCCCGAGGACTCAGACTGGCTCTCCCAGCCCCCACCTGGACAGCACCCGAGCCGCAGGGTGAGCGCCTGAGGCCAAAGGAGCCCGGCAGAGCCTCGTTCTGGCCCGGCAAAGCAAGGGGACTCAGATTGCGGGGCGCCAGGGTGGCCGCCTGGACAGATGATTGTATTCTAAATTAGCTCATGTGGGAACATCTATCCGTTTAAAAAAAATAAAGTCATAGCCTTACCTCATCCCCTGCACAAAAATAAATTTGGAGTTAAGACCCAAATCTGAAAATATAAAACTCTGTAAGCATGAGAAGCAGCTTTGGAATACGTGACACATGAAAAGCTGCTTTCGAGTGACGTGGGGTCCATGTGTGGATGAGACGAGTGGAGATCTGAGGAGCACTGAGGGGGCGCCCAGAGCCGTGCAGACAGCATTTGAGCTCCCACCTCCCCAAAACCTGACCCACACCTGCATCTCTACCATAATTTCATTCATGTTAACTGTCCGAGAGACAAGGTGCTATTGCTTTGTTTTATGTTGCATTCACTGCTGATTACTAGTGAGGTTGACTGCCTGTCTTCTGTGACCTTGTTCAAATTTAAAATTTTTAATTTTTAAAATTGTTTTCTTTTTTCATAGGAGTCGTTTATGTACTTTGGATATTGATCCTTTGTTTTGTGTATATATCTATATGTATCTTTTTCATGCTGTCTCTTGTCTTAACTGTGTGTGTTGTTACCTGTTTATGAAAATTGGTACAGTGGATAGCAGTTTGGCAATATCTACTAAAATTTAAGTGAGCAAGACCAATACTTCTAATTTCTCTGTAGCTCCCTAGAGAAATATCCATGGATACAAAGTTATTGTGTGTGTGTGTGAACTTAGTTCCCTGACCCGGGATGGAACCTGCGTACCCTGCATTGGAAGCACCGAGTCTTAACCGCAAGTCCCCAAAGATGTTTATTTACAGATGCATTTACAAAGATGTGCACTGGAGCATGGGGTGAAATGTTAAAAAAAGAAGAAAAAAAGTAGAGCTAACTCCAGTGCTCCCAGCAGGGGGACAAGTAAGACTCCGGCCTTGGAGCCACATGAGCAGAGATGAGGGTCCAGCCCACGAATGCAGCCTGTGCTGATGTGGAAGGAGTGCTGAGCCGCGACCACAGTAGAGTAGGTAGCCACACACTCTCACACACACACACACACTCGGGGGAGCGTCAGGAGGAGGTGTGTGAAACTGCACCCACTCTTTTCCCAGGTGGGGGTCCTAACTTTGATTTGCTGTGTGTGGATTTACAAGAGGTGATTTTTTTCTTCAATAAAGTAATACCAACAATAAATTAATACTAGTTGCCTCCATGTGAGTACCAGCAGTCTTCCGCTGAGCGTTTCAGATGCAGCATCAATACCCTCGCCCTGGGATGTTGGAGGAGAGGAGTCGTGGTTCCCTTCCTCAGGACCACAGGCCAAAAATCACCCTTGAGAAAAACACCCTAGGCCATAAGCACAGAAGAGTTTCTCTGAAAAGCCCTGGGCTTCCCAGGTCTTGGAGCTCAGAAGCCGGCTGCGGGTGGGCCCTCGGCAGCCCTGGACCCACAGCTCTCCCTCCCCCGCTCCCGTCCTGCTCATCTCTGCTCATGTGGCTTCGAGGCCAGAGTCTTACTCACCAGCTATCAGATTTCCTTTCAAAGGTCAAGGCAGAAATTCAAGGCACAGCTGGGTGGAAGGCATGCTTGGTGTCTTGGGGAGAATTAGGAAGGTTGACTGGTAGCTGCAGACAAATCACTTTGCAACTGGATAAATGGTTAATGTTTGTTCTTGGACCTAGAGGAGATCTGAACCTCACCTTGCTGGGGAAGGATGTGTCCCAGGCTCGGCAGGGCGTCTGGCTGGGGGCCTGCATGTGAGCCATGGAAGTCTCTTCCAGAGGCGTGAGGTGCGGATGACAGGCTGGGCTTGGCTCCTGATGGTGGCCTAGCTTAGTACCTTGACCTTGACCATTGGAGTGGTGAGGAGGCAGGGGGTTGCCTGGGGAAGGAAACCCTGGGAGCAGCCAGGTTTCAGCCTGGAGACTGGCCGAGAGGTGGAAAGTCACTTGGTTTCTTCCTGTAGGAGCCAGGAAGCTTCCTGAGGCAGAAGTCAGCCTCTTCGGCCTCTTGCGTAGAGGTCCACTTTAGGATCCTGGGCCTCCTGTTGCCAGGGTAGTCGCGTCGTCTCCCCAGATCTCCCGCAGCCAGCCCAAGGCCTCCCTCCACAGCAACGTGGAGGCTCACACTTCTTTTTCTCCATGGTGTCTACACTTGGGAGCATACATGAGTGCTAGGTCGCTTCAGTCGTGTCCGACTCTTTGCAACCCCATGGGCCATAGCCCGCCAGGCCCTTCTGTCCTTGGGATTCTCCAGGCAAGAAAACGAGTGGGTTGCCATGCCCTCCTCCAGGGGATCTTCCCAACCCAGGGTTCAAACCAGCATCTTTCTGCATTGGCAGGCAGATTCTTTACCACTAGCGCTGCCTGAGAGGCCCACACTTGGGAGAATGGGAGCCATTTCCCCTTGAACCTGGGCTGGTGGCCCCACGTCCAGGATGTGTGTTGATGGGTTGAAACACCTCTGAGTAGGTGTGAGATGGGGGTGTCTGAGGATGCAGCTGACTCAGCTCAGAACAGCTCTTTCTCCCGCCTGTAGCGGGCTAAGTGCCCAAGGCAGTATTTTGGTGAGGGTTACAGAGCCACAGAGCTATCTGGCCCGGGGCCCAGGCCTCTGCCTTGCCCTCCCCCTGCCCCCCACTGGCTCTACTATAAAAGTGTTGAGCTGCTCAGCTTCTCTCACCAGGGGCCTGAGGAGCAGGGGGGACCATGAACTTCATCAGCATCCAGCAGCTGGTGAGGACTTGGGGCCGGGCGGCGGGGGTTGGGCAGTGGTCTGGGCGCCCCGGGACCGTCTCAGCAGAACGAGGGAGTCAGGCAGCTGCTTTGTGTGGCCTGAGGAGGTTTGAGTAGAAACATGCGGTTCCGTTCTGGTCTGTCTGCCCAGGTCTCACCTGAGGGGCTAGGGAGCGAGAGAGGGAGGAGACAGTGAGAAAGGGGCCAGGCAATGGTCGGCAAGGAATTCCTTGAGTCCAGTGGGTTCTGCCCTTGACTGATGGCAGAAGAGTGGGAAGCGGCAAGTTACCCGGGAGACACGAGTGTGGCCCAGGTGCTGGTTGAGCTCAGCTGTGTTGCTGGTCGTTGCTGGGGAAATGGTCTGGAGAGTCTGACTGCCTTGGCTGGGGAAGGGGAGAAGGTGGGCAGTGAGAGAAGCAGGGACTCCAGTGACACTTCAGGCTGTTGAGGGAGGCTGTGCATGGAGGCCGCAGGTGTCACTTTGCCCCCCAGGCCCCACTGCCAGCCAGTTCAGCCTGTGCTGGGAGGCGGGTTGCAGGGCCCAGGAACTGTTTGATTGCCTGAGTTCACTTTAGAAGGGAATGGAATAGAGTCCCATGTGGCTGGAAACCATACACTCTGCCATCCTATCATTCCAGCCTCTTCTCTCCCTTCAACTTGCTTCTTCCTGGGTGCTGCCAGCTCCTGAATCCTGGGGGTGGGGGCCAGGGGAGGGAGAAAAGAATGTTTTGTTGTACGATGTGCTCCACCCTAGCCCCACTAACTCATTTCATCTTGGGCACCGAGAGGAAAGAGCTAGCTTTACCCCCAAGTTATTATAAAGAGAGCTTCCCAAAGAGCCAAAATCTGAATGCAGGAATTTGGCATTTTACCCGGGAGGCATCTCCGCTCTCCCCCTACCGCCCCCCCCACCTGGGGTCAGGTGGCAGTGTGGCGTGATCTGGTAGGCATGTAAGGACAACCACCCGCGAGAGAGGCCCTGAGCTCACCTGGATGCGGCCCAGCAGTATAAATAGACGCAGTGTCAGGCGCCCGCCACCGTGTTCCTGCTGACAGCACAGAGTGGGCAGCAGCCAGCTACCCGCCCGGGTCTCAGGCAGTGCTGCAGGTGCGAGAGCCACGAGGAGCGGGTGGGCCGCCACGGCACTTTGCACAGGTCCAGACAGGCTCGTTGACCTTTGCATGTCAACCCCTGGCAGGACCCCCCCGTCCAGCACCATCGTGTTTGCTAGGTTTTGTCACTCGGTCATGTCTGACTCTGCGACGCCCTGGGCTGCAGCCCACCAGGCTCCCCTGTGCGTGGAGTTCTTCAGACAAGAAAACTGGAGTGGGGAGCTATTGCCTTAGGGCTCCTCCTAATTTTCCCGAGTCTTTGTCCTCGTCTGTGCCTACAGGTAAGTGGAGAGAGAGTTGAAAGGACGAAATTGGAAAGTGGACATGGAGTTCCTGATCCTGGAGGGGGGCTTCACAGCTGGAGGCTGGGGCCCCAGGAGGCCGAGGCCCGGGAGAGGCAGAAACTGGACGAGGAGAAGAGGAGAAGAGTGAGTGGCCAGCGGTGGCGGCCCAGGGGGCTGGGTGCGGGCAGACTGAGCAGTGGGGCTCAGGGACTGATAGCCTGGGTGGGCACTCCTGCTGCCTAAAGACGAGGGTGAGGCCAACCAAGAGATGCCCCAGGGCTCCAGCGGCCAGCAGCTGACGGCTCATGTGGTCCTGTTTCTGCCACAGCTTGAAAGATTTAACAGTTCCAGAACTAACTTGGAGAACCTGGCTGATTTGGAAAAGTTGGTTCAAAGACGGAAAGAAAAGCGACTGAAACGCAGGGTCCCCCCCAAGGCACCCCAGCCTGAGGTCAAGGTGAGCGAGGGTGCACACCCGGGCTGGAGTTCATGAGCCAGAGCCTCCTGTCCCCAGGAGAGGCCCGGGGAAGAGCTGCCCAGCCCGCACCCAGAGACCCCTTTGCCCCTGCTGGCAGCCTGAGTGGGCTGCTGGTGAAACAGCACCTCAAGCTGGGGGCTTAGCAGCTGTGTATGCACGGTCTGCTCAGAGGGCTGGCAGTCCCACATCAGGGCTTCATCCTGAGGCCCTGGGGCTGGATCTGTCCATGCCTCTCCCCAGCTTAGGGGTTGATGGAAATCTGTCATTTCCTTGGTGTGTGGATGCGTTGCTCCGGTCTCTGATGTGAGCTCACACAATCCACAAGGCCTTCCACGTGTGCATGCCTGTATCCAAATGTCCCCTTTCAGTAAGGACTTGTCATATTGGAACAGGGCCCACCTACTCCAGGATGACCTCATCTTAAACAATTATAGCTACAGTGACCCCATTTCCAAGTAAGGTCACTCTCAGAGTGCTGGGGTTAGGACCTTAACATCTGAACTTGGAGGAGACACAGCTCAATCCATGACCCCCACCTCATATACCTGTTCAGTCTTCTGGGGGCAGGATTGTTTTTTTAAAGTTTGTATGTATTTACATAATTGGCTGTGTGGGGTCTAAATTGCATCATTCTGAATCTTTGGTTGTAGCGCATGGACTCTAGTTGTGGCTTTTGGACTTCGAAGCGCACAAGCTCTGTAGTTGTGATGAGTGGGTTTAGTTGCCCTGTGGTGTACGGGATCTTAGTTCCCTAATCAGGGATGGAACCCATGTCCCCTGCATTGCAAGGGAGATTTTCGACCACTGAACCCCCAGAGTCGTCTCTGGGGGCAGGTTTTTTAATCTGCTGTTTGTATCAGCCGATAGTGCACTGGTCCTCAGCCAGGTCTCTGGTTAGACTGGGGAGGCCATGCATCCCAGTGCAGCCTCTCGAGTGAGTGGGCCTTGTCCTTGAACTTACCTGGCTTTCCTGGTGGCTCAGAGGGTATCATCTCCTGCCTGCAAGGCAGGAGACCAGGGTTCGATCCCCGGGTCAGGAAGATCCCCTGGAGTAGGAAATGACAACCCACTCCAGTCTTCTTGCCTAGAGAAATCCCATGGACAGAGGAGCCTGGCGGCTGTAGTCCATGAGGTCGCAGAGTCAGACGTGACTGAGCGACTAACACTGAATTCACTCGGCCGCAGCCACAGGCCCACCTGGAACCCGTGGCCCTGGAGGAGTTCCTGAAGGCAGCTGCCGAGAACCAGGAGGCCCTGATTGACAAGTACCTGGCGGACGGAGGGGACCCCAATGCCCATGACAAGGTAGCGAGGGTGGCGCAGGCACGGTGCATGCCTAGGAAGCCACAGGGCTTTTGTTTCACGGGGCACAAGTCCCGTGGTGCCTCCTGAGTGGGGAGAGAGTGGCACTGGGAGCAAGGTCATGGGGTGGGACCAAGGGTGGCCAAGCTTCCTGCACCCGACCTCCCGCTCTCTCCCCAGCTGCACCGCACGGCCTTGCACTGGGCCTGTCTGAAGGGTCACTGTGAGCTTGTGAACAAGCTGCTGGAGGCGGGTGCTGCCGTGGACGCTCGGGACTTGGTAAGACCCAGGGAAGGGCCACCCCCACAGCAAACCTCCCACTGGCTTCCCCACACATCAGGGTGAGGTGGGTGCTTCTCTTTGCAGCTGGACAGGACCCCAGTGTTCTGGGCCTGCCGCAGAGGCCACCTGGACATCCTCAAACAGCTGCTTAACCGGGGCGCCCAGGTCAACGCCCGAGACAAGGTGAGGGCACAGGCCGGGGTGGGGGGGGAGCCCGAGGCTCTCGGGGTAGGAACACAGCTGCGCCAGCCTGTGATGACACCGCTGCCCCTCACCGCTGCCTCAGATCTGGAGCACGCCCCTGCACGTGGCCGTGCGCACGGGACACTGTGACTGCCTGGAGCACCTCATCGCCTGCGGGGCCCGCATCGATGCGCAGGACAAGGTTGGCGTCTGGTTACCAGAGGTTGGGGCGGCTCACCCCCGGGGCTGGGGCCCGAAGGAGCCCAAGCTCAGCCACGAATGGCGCCTGCTCCCAGTGGGGCAGGGCTGAGGAGGATGACACCCCATCCCTCTCAACAGGAAGGTGACACGGCTCTGCACGAGGCAGTCCGGCATGGGCGCTACAGAGCCATGAAGCTGCTGCTGCTCTACGGGGCTGGGCTGGGCGTGCGCAACGCGGTGAGTGCGGGCGGGCAGCGGGGCGGAGAGCAGGGCGGGGTGGGCGGCCCAGGGATGAGAATGGGCTCTTAGCCAGCGCCCTCCTTCCAGGCTTCGGTGACCCCAGCGCAGCTGGCCCGGGACTGGCAGAGGGGCATCCAGGAAGCACTGCAGGCCCATGTCAGGCACACCCGGACCCGGTGCTGACCACCTGCAGGGCCACTCAGCCTCATTCCAGCCCCACCACCTCCCGCCCTCCCGTGGTCCTTCCTTGGCACACCCCGGCCTGACCCCTCGTCTCCAGGCAGCCCTGTCAGGGCCGCTCCGAGAGGGGGACAGGTAGGAAAGCCTTCCTGCCTCCAGTCCTGGGGCTGAGCCGTGCCCAGGAGGGTGCGAGCTGGGGGCTGAGGCAGAGGACCCGGGTATGGGGGGCAGGAAACTGGGTCCAGTCGAGGGGCAGCAGAGGGTCGGCGCCAGGATGGAACGGGAAGGGAGCGAGCCTCAGGCTTCCGGGGCCAGTGCAGGAGACAGCTCCTCAGTGTCCACTGGCCCTGTGGCCAGGAGATGGCCAGGCTCAGCCCTCCACGAGGGCCCGCCTGCTGTCAGGGGGTGACATGTCGCGAGGCCAGCGCCATCCGGGCCACACAGGTGCCCTTGGGCACAGGTTTCTCCAGGGGCCTCAGTTCCTATCAGCAGCAACCCTGATAGCGTCCAGAGTGGCTCCCGACGCTTCAGCCTTGCGGCTCTGAGCTGGGTCTGGCTGTCTGGATGGGGCTGCTCAGCAGGTTTGAGCCCCCCAGCACAGAAGGCCAGCCCCAGCCCGGTTGCCTCAGCAGCCCCAGGGCTGACGAGCTGGAGCTAACGTTTACCCCAGGGAAGCCTTGTGCCCTTTGTCAGGCCCGCCTGCCGCACTCGTCCGCCAGCTGGCAGCTCTTTGCAGAGGAAGTACCCGGGTGCTGGGGGTTGCTTGTGGCCCACTCAGCTTCTGGGGCAGTGGCCCGTAACCCTACTCTGCCCTGGGCGCGGACGCCCCCCTGGCACGAGAGCAGCACTGCGGCCTGGCCCCTGTAGCCATGCCACTTCACCCACCATCAAGGCAGGACGCGGAGGGCTCTGAGCTCACCTGCTCCTTCCCCTTCTCTCCTGACCCGAGGTGGCCTAAGGCCCAGCCTCCACACACTCCCCTAAAGCTTCCCCTCACCATCCTTCCCGGGTCATGCCGCACACATGCAGACTTGTACCTGTACCGCTGGCGGGGCTGGGTCCTTTAATGCCAGAAACCAGAAAGCAAACCTTTGAGAACAATTTTGCCCCAAATGGAGAGCCACAGGCAGAGGGATGGGCTCCTGGACGGAGGTCAGCCTCCCTCATGGAAGGAACCTGGGCTGATAGCCACTCTGCAGCAGTTATTTTTTAGTCTCACTGGCCGCTTTCTCAGGCCGAGGACAAGGCAATTTCTACTCTGTGAAAAAGCCGGCAAGAGCTCTGAAGGGCGGCCGCATGCCCGCCCCTCACACAGGCAGCTCCTGCCCTGTTGTGACAGAGCCCCCCGTTCACCCAGACATGGGGCCCACGGGCGAACAGCTGGTCAAGTTCACAGAGAAGACGACTTCCCATCTAGAAAATGGGGACACTTAAGTGACAGACAGAAATACCTTTTTATACGCATCACTACTTTTTGTTCATTAAAACTTGTTGATTATCCATCATGGCCTGGTCGTCTGTTCTGGGCCAGAAGGGCCAGTTCCACTGGCCTTGGGCTTCGTCTTCCTCAGCAGCAAAGCCAGGCCTGATTACCACGCTGGCCTGAGAGCAAGACCGGCCCCTGAAAGCAGAGCAGGCAGGCAGGCAGGGCAGTGCTTCTCAGCTAGGCTGCCTGTTAGAATGAGGAGGGAAGATTTCAAAGATTCTCATTTTGGGTTCCCCTGGTGGCCCAGTAGTTAAGAATCCACCTGCCAACACAGGCAACATGAGTTCAATCCCTGGTCCAGGAAGAGCCCAGCGGCAGAGCAGCTGAGCCTGGGCCCCGGAGCCTGGGAGCAAGAACTACTGCAGCCCGCACGCCGCGAGCCTGTGCTCGGCACCGAGAGAAGCCGCAACTGGAGAAAAACAAGCGCAGAAACGAACACTCAGCACAGTCAAAAAGTCTGAAAAAATCCTGACGTTCAGGGAGTTTTGGAAATTCCCTGGTGGTCCCATGCTGCCACTGCACGGGGCAAGGGTTCAGTCACTAGTCAGGGAGCTCAGATCCGGCACGCCATATGGCCAAGAGGTTAAAACAACACAAAACCTTGATGTCCAGCCTGAGGAAATCAGAATCCCAAGGGTGGGCCCAGGGGCCCAGGAATAAGCATTTTCATATAGTTGACATGCCTGTCTATGAAGGTGATCCTAAGGAATCTTATTTCTAAAAAAAATGAAAATAGCACCTAGAATGATCTCAGGATACAAAAACCTTTTTCTATACACTAGTGATGATTCTGAATACTAAAACACACAGTACTACTTACAATTTGCTAAAAAGGAAACCCACTTAGGTGTAAATCTTACAAAACATGTAAGGACCTGCAGGCTGAAAACTACAGTGCTGATGAATGAATGAAATTTAAATAGATGGGAGACATACACATGGATTGAAAGATGCAACCGAGTAAAGATGTTGGTGCCACCTAAATTGATACACAGGTTTAACCAGTTCCTGACAAAATCCCAGCAAAGTTTTTTTTTTTTTTTGTAGATTAGACAAGTTATTCTAAAATTTAAAACATACAACTCTGGAGAAGAACAAAATGGAAGAAATCAGTCTACTGATTTCAGGGAACTACTAAATAGCTCCTAGGTGGTACTAGTGGTAAAGAACCTGCCTGCCAATGCAGGAAAGACTGTGGGCTTGATCCCTGGGTCAGGAAGATCCCCTGGAGGAGGGCATGGCAACCCACTCCAGTGTTCTTGCCTGGAGAGTCCCATGGACGGAGGAGCCTGGCGGGCTGCAGTCCCATGGGGCTGCAGAGTTGTACACGACTAAAGTGACTTAGCAGCAGTCAGTAATCAAGACAGGGTGGTACCAATGGAGAGAGAGACACATCAGTCAATGGAACAGAACAGATGACCCAGAAATGGAGAAAACAAATATGCCCAAAGATGCAAAAGCTACTCACTGGAGGAAAGACATGCTTTACAACACTTAAGGTAATGAACATCTATAGGCAAAAAAAGACAACAACCACCCTTTACTCAAAATGGATCACAAAGGGCTTCCCTGGTGGCTCAGTGGTAAAGAACCCACCTGCCAGTGTACAAGACATGGGCTTGATCCCTGGTCTGGGAGGATCCCCCATACCATGGAACAACTAAGCCATGAGCCACAACTACTGAGCCTACATGCCTAGAGCCCGAGTGCCACAAGAGCAGCCACCGCAATGAGCCCGCAGACTGCAGTGAAGAGCAGCCCTCCTTCTTGGCGACTGGAGAAAACCCAAGCAGCCAAGACGACCAAGCAGAGCCAAAAATAAATGATTAAAGAAAACAAGACCACAAACGTAAATGCAATGAAAAACTGTAAATACTTTATAAAAACAATCTTCAAGTCTAGATTTAAAAAAAGAAAAACTAGGTAAAGATTTCTTCGGTGGTTTAGTTGCTAAATCATGTCTGACTCTTGTGACCCCATGGACTGTAGCCCGCCAGGCTCCTCTGTCCATGGGATTCTCCAGGCAAGAATACTGGAGTGGGCTGCCACTTCATGACACCAAAAGCATGATCCATAAACAATGAGTAAACTGGAATTCATCAAAATTTATTTCTGCTCTATAAAAACTCCCATTAAGATAAAAAAAAAAAAAAGCTACAGACTGGGAGAAAATATTTGCAAACCAAAAACCCAATAAAGCCTAGTAATTCTCAAAACTCAGCAGCAAAAGAACCAAACAATCTAAGTGGAAAATGGACAAAAGACATAAACAGACGTTTCACAAAGTGAAATAAGCACATGAAAAAATACATTATGGAAATGCAAATAAAATCCACAATGAGATAGCACTACATACTTACCAGAAGGGCTACAATACGTGACACCACCAAGTCCTGGGGAGGACATGAGAAAAAAACTCAACATATCGCTGGTGGGAATGTAAAGTTGTGCAGGTGCTCTGAAAAGGTTTGGCAGTTTCTTTTAAAACCTAAATATGCAATAACCATACAAACCTGGCAACTGCATGCCTAATCATTGAGCTCAGGGAAAAGAAAACCAATGTCTGCACAAGAACCTGTGATGAATGTTCATAGCAGCTTTATTTGGAATAGCCAAAAACCGGAACCCACCCAGATGTCCTTAGACAGGACAGCGAGTCTGTGGTGGAATACCACACAGCAATCACGAAGCAACAAGTGACTGACGTGGGCAACAGCCTGGAGGAGACCCCAGAACAATGCGCCGAGTGAAGAAAGCCAGTCCCCACACTTACATACCACAGGACCCCATTTATACAGCATTCTTCAAACGACAAAATTACAGAGATGATGTACAGATTAGTGGTTGCCAGGGATTACGGGTAGTGGCCAGAGGGGGTGGGTGTGGCTTTAAGAGCATCTGTTGGAGGGAGGTCCTAGTGAGGAACAGTTCTGTATCTAGACTGAAGTGGTGGTTACACAATCTGCATGTGATTAAGATGCTACAGAGCTACATACCCACACTGCAGCAGAGTCAGATTCCTGGTTTTCATACTGCACTCTAACTATGTAAGACCGTGTAATCATGGAGGAAAACGGGGAAGGATACATGGGACCTCCATCCTTGCAACTTCCTATGAATCTGTCATTATTTCAAAGTAAAAAGTTACAGTAGAAAATAGGAAAAAAGGCAATAGCTCTAAATGCAACTTGGTGTCCTGGGTTGGGTCCTGCAACACAAACGGACATTATGGAAAATTTGATAAAAACCCAAATGAAGTCTGTAATTTAGTTAATAGTTTTGTACCAATGTTAATTTTTTAATTTTGATAAGTGCACCAAGGTTATAGAAGATGTTAACATTCAGGGAAGCAGGCGTGATCTGTGAATATAAAATAATTTTACAGAATAAAATCCTGGTGCCTGGACTAAATCAGAATCCCTGGGTGAGTGGGTGGGTTGGAGGAAGCGGCCCAGGGAGCAGTATTTTTAACTTGCCATGTGATTCCAATGTGCAGCCAAGGTTAATCACCACTCTTCTGCAGAGAGAAAAAAATTTTCAAGTATCTATTTCCCACCTGGGTTTGCTCTTGAGAGAGAATTCCTTGAGAAGTTTCTAAGTGAGCATGCCACTGTATTTTGGCCTTCACTCGCACTGATCCTGGATAAGGACCCAAATGCCACTGAGAAAGGTTCAGAAATCCTCCTGCCTCCCTCGCTGGGGTCCCCATGATGCCCCAGTTTCTGCGCAGCTAAAGCACCACGGAAGGTGGATGTAGGTAACCAGAAGACGATACAAACGCCTTCTTGTTCCCACTTCTCTGAAGCCCCAGAGAGCTGGAATGGGAATAAAGCCATGAGCTTAAAACATCTCAGAGCTCTAAGAAAAACTTTTGATTTCACCTTTTTTCCAAAGACAGGTGACGGGGGTCTACCTGGTCCACACCCAGCCCTGCCTCCCCTGCTGCTCTCCATGCGCTTTCCAGCCACACAGCACCCCGGGGGCCTCCGGCGACCCACTCTGGGATCTGACGACAACGGATCAGGTGCATCAGAGCAATCCCTTCCCCCCACCCGTGACCTCTTCTTAACACATGGAAAACGACAACACTGTTAGTGCCACTGAGCCAGGCAGGTGGAGGAGCGGCAGGAAGAAGGGGCTCCTGAACCCCACAGGGGCCAGTGTGCTCGCTCTGGGCTTGGGACAGGGCAGGAAAAGCCACCTCCACGGGAGGCAGCGGGCCTGGAGGGACACAGCTTCCAGCTTTGGCGCATGCTCAGAAGCATGGTGTCATAAGGGAAGCCAGCAAGGCTGGCGTGGCCAAGCCCACGGATGTGAACCCCAGCCCACATGGCGCGCTTAGTTTGCTCAAGAGGTGCTGCCAGCAGCAGAAGGTTGGCAAATGAAGCAGAGAGAGTGCAGGTCACGGCCACAGGAAGGCAGTTACCGCGCTCACATCGTGGCCTGGCCGGAGAGGTATAGACACTGTCACAGGGAGGCTGGCCCCGGGGACTGGAGATGACGCTGTTCCTTTCACTCCATTCGGAAGCAGACCTGGAGGGCTGGCCCCCACTGACCCTCGTGTTCTAGGGGTGGGGAGGCAGAACCTGCTGAAGGCTCCTGGCACTGATGTCTGGTTCGGAGGACAGCCAGGACCTGCACGTACAAGGCCATCTAAAACGTGGCCCGCAGGGGACGGGATGGGCTGGCAGGAAGCTGCTTTCCGGCTTGCTCCAGTTCCCCACGTGCTTGTCTATTCCCCAGACCTGGGGCTGCTTGACAAGCGGCTAAACTCCCGGGTTCCGCCCGGGGCTCTCCTCTGCTGGGAGACCCGGTCTGCTGTGGTTGGATCCTAGAGAGGAGAGGAGGGTCAGCGTTAGAGCATCAATCAAGGGAGCGGGTCCTATGAAACAAGCTGTAAATCCTCTTTGGGAAGGCAGCAGGCAGGTAAGGCAGGGGAGCCTCAGGCCTCTTCGGGAGGCACTGAGGCAGAGCTGGGAGGATTTAGTTAGGAAAACGGTCAGCCTCACGACAGAAAACCACTGTGAGGACGGACGCCATCACCAAGAGGCAGGGAGGCAGGGCTGCTGCCCATGGGAGGCCAAGGTCACAGGGCCAGGCGGAAGACACCTGCGCTGGGCAGCACACCTGGCACCAGAAGGAAGCGGTCACTGCCAAGGCCTCCTAGAAAAATGAGCCGAGAAGTAGCAAAAAGGGACAAGAAGTGCCCACTCACCCCCCACGGAGGAGAGCCTCCCTTCTGGGGGAGAGGTCTGCAGGGCACCCCCAGCAGCTAACAGGCTGGGGAAGGGAAGCAAAGAGAAGGTAAAGTAAAAGGAGAGATATTTACCTGGGGTGTTGTCTTAAACAAAAAATGCTCACTAGTCCACAGTCAATTATCAACTGCAGTTTCCAAGTGTGCCAAAGAGGGAAAGGTCTACCGGGAAGGCTAGAGAGAGAGAAGGAAGAGGTGGGGAGAAGGGGGGAGAGAGGGTACGCGCCAGGGAGCCGTACACGCAGGGCCCCCGCCCGGCAGTGCGGCTGAGACGAGGCCGCGAGGCCAGGGGGCCTGGGAGGCGCCGCCGAGCGTGGACGCCCCCCCGGCAACCCCGCCCAGGGAGCGAGGGACGTGGAGAGCTTCCAGATTTCAAATGGCAGACCAGGGCTCGGAAAGCAGCGTCCAAGAGCATCGCTAGGTTTTGTGGGTCTTGGTGACAACGACTCAACTCCACCGTCTCAGCTCAAAGGCAGCTGCACACAAGCCACCAGCAGATGGGCGCGTCCAATCAAACGCTGTGAGAATGGGCAGACTGGGCCCTCAAGCCATTTCCAACCCAGCTGTATGCAGCTGCAAATTATGGTGCTTTCCAAGCATTTCAGTAAAAGTAGTTCTCTGCTGGGGAACCTAGAGCCTGAGTGACTCAGAAGGCAGCTCTGACCTGCGCTATTTCAGCAGGGCCCTGGGGACACGTCCACTGATTTCCCTCAGCAGCAAAGCACGAGGTTAAGAGAGAGGAAATACAAGACGCTGAGGGCTGCCCAGGGCCAACGTCAGGCTGCATTTAGGGAAGAATTAACACTGTGACTAAGAACAGGGGCTAGTAATCCATTACAAAGAAGAAATGCCCACAAGCCACTAAACCATTCCCTCGGCAGACTGTCCAACAGGTGGCTCAAGCCACAAAAGGATTTAAAAAAAGAACTTTGGGTATATGATAAAAGATGAACAGAAAAACCAGGATTCTTAGGTTTGTACCTTAACTACAACCTGTGCAGTCTGAGTAGTAGATGGAGCCAGAAAAGCTCACACATGAAAAAACTAAAAGCAAAAGGCTCGCATTCTGCAAAACAAAATTGCCCTGGTTTTTGAGACCTGAGTCTAAAGAGATGGTGTGAATTTATGTGTAAGGGGTGCCTCACAAAATAAAAGGTCATGGTGGGTAAACACAGGAGCGGGCTGAAGGGAACGAAGGATCTGTTTGTTCAGAAAGGCCGAGACTGTGCCCAACTCTAGGACCCGGCATGACCCCGGGAGTCCGTCACCAGCACCAGACTCACGAAGTGGAGCCACAGTGAGGCCGAGGGGGGCTCTGCCCCTCACATCTCAGGAAGCACCTGTCCATCGCTGAAACATGTTTTCTTCTCAGCTGCGGCTCCAGTAACCAGACCCACCTCCTGTGGGCACCACAGCCCACAGGCCAAGGGTGCGCCAGGCTCTGAGCCAGAGGGCCTGTCTCTCCTGGCCTCCAACTCTCATCTGGAAAATGGGCGTAACAACTACCACCTCTCAGAACCTCAGGGAAGTCATCTCCGCCGAGTCAAGATAAGGCAGGCTCTCAACACAGTGCAAGGCACAGGCAGCCTTCAGGAAGACCTCGGTGTCCCCACTACAGGGTGGGATGTGGTGGGGGATGGAGCAAGAGTCAGACCCCTGCAGGCCCCCTTCGGCCTCTCCAAAGCCCCACCAAACCCTGCTGGTCCTGAACATCGAGGGCAGCAAAGCTCTCTGACCTGTCCTACCACTCCCACCCAAAGCCCCTAGTTTACAGACTCCTTTTTGTTTTCCCTCCTTACACAGTTAGGGTGGGGTTTCCCCTCTCCCCCTGCAGAGTCCGCTTTCTCCTGCTCCCAGGGGAGTCCCACGGGAGGCGTACCCTGAACAAACACCTCAGCAGGCGCCCCTCTTGGTTCTGGGATGGGGTTCCCCCCGCCACCCAACCTCTGAGTCAGGCCCACTGGACCTAAAACTTCATTTTCCAGGTGCTATGCTGGGCTTAGTCATTCAGTTGTATCTGACTCTTTGCGACCCCATGGACTGTAGCCCCCCAGGCTCCTCTGTCCATGGGATTCTCCAGGCAAGAATACCTGAGTGGGTTGCCAGGCCCTCCTCCAGGGGATCTTCCCTAAATGACCAATAGTGTGGCTGAATACACCCTTACTCCCATTTAGCAACTACAGCTGACCCTTAAACAACGCAGGTCTGAAATGCGTGAGTCCACTTACATGTGGGTTTTTTCCAATAGTAAATAATACAGCACTGCACAGGCCATAGCTAACTGAATCTGTGGATGTGGAATTGCGGATACAGAGGACCGACCATGTGACACGCACAGATTTTCTACTGCACAGGGAACTGGCATCCCTCACCCATGTTATTCAAGGGTTAATTGTATTCCTTAAATAAACCAACCCACCCTTCAGGCCCGTGAGAGGAAATGCTGACTTACATGCTCTGCTCAAAATGCCAGCTGGTCTGTAGCTCGGTATTGTCCAAATCATTAAAAACACAAGAAGGGAGACAGAAAAGGATGGGGCGATGAAAGGAGAAAGAACGGAGGGCGAGGCAGAGAGCAGGGCCGTGTGTGTGTGTGTGTAGCCGGGAGGGCAGAGGGCACGCTCACCCAGGGGGGCGACACTGCGGGACCCGGGCTCACCTGGGGCTGTGGCCGCCTTGTCACCGAGGAGCCTGGTCTGGCTGCCAGGGATGGCCAGAAGCTCTGTGTTCTCCGGGGACTGTGGCAGCGCCTGGGCGCGGGTGGCCAGGAGTGCATTGAGGTACTGCAACCGAGTGACCTGGGGGGCAGGAAGCATTGCGACTCGTGCGGGCGGGCAGGCAAAGTGAGACGAGGGCCCACACCACCCCTCCTGCCCTCCAGCACTCAAACTAGGGGTGGAGCCACACCTTGCAGGACGAGGGGAAAGAACGCACCCGAGGCTACTAGCTAGGGGCTGTTAAGACCCCCAAGGACACCGGGTGCCTAGGCCGCCAGGAGACAGAAGGGCCAGGCGGTCTGTCCTTCAGACCAAGTACAAGGCTTTGTTCCGAGACTCAATCACAATTTAATCCATTCTAACATGTGACCAGATGCTCCAGCCCTTGGGGACACAAAGCTGGTTAAAAGCCAGCACTGAGGAGCAACGCAGATGGTCACCTTGATGAACTGCAGGTCAGAGAGGGCCCTCACGGTGTAGTCAGGACAATACGCAGACAAGCGGGTGCTGTCAGCGGGCTCGGGCGGTGGGTCGTAGCGGATGGACTGGAGCGAGGACACCGGGGACTGGTGAACTGCAGAAAGGACAGTTAGTGATGTCAGCTGACCACGAGGGAGCGGGCCAGCCCCCGCCCAGCCTCTGAGATCCACCCTGCTGATCACCCCAGCAACGGGATGCAGCCTGGGACTCTGCATAGGAGGGCAAATACGCCCCTCCTGGGACAGGCTTGGCAGGGGTGGGAAGAACAACAAAGACGAGGCCTGTAGAAACTCTGCCCTTCCCTCCACACAGCCGGGAGACGGTAAGGGCCAGCAGGTCCCCAGGCAGACCGCCCTGCAAGAGGGGAACAGGGGAGCCCTTGCAGTGCCCACCCACCCCCACCTCCAGCTCCAAGAGGAACGCCTGCCCACCCACCGACCCCAACCTCCAGCTCCGGGAGGGCCCAGCTTACCCGAGGATGGCGCTGTCAGGGCAGAAACCCCGTAGTAGGTGAAGGCCCCATTTTCGAACTTCAAGCCCTCCTTCCCGATCTCCACCTCCACCCTGCCCTGGAAGGTGCGGAGAGAGAGGGAGGAAAAGAGGACAGGGAGAGAAGTGGACAGGTCACCTTTCCTGCCCGCAAAGAGCAGGAGAGCGCATGGACCCCACCTATCCAGGGGGCGTGCACCTGGTGTTCCTCTTCCTACACCCTCCCCATGTCCTGGGCAAGCGGCAGGCTGCAGGCCAGCTGGCAAGTACCTGCAGGATGAGGATGAAATAGTCCACCGGCCGGCTGCGCTGGTACAGGTAGTGGTGGGCGGCCAGGCGGTTGCTCTCGTCAAACCGTACTTCCTGGTTGACGCTGGGATGCTTCAGCAAGTGCAGGAGGACCTTCTCAGAGACCCGCAGCGGGCTGAAGACGTCCACCTCTGTCCCACAGAGGGAAAAAGTGATGGGGACACTGTCCTCTGGGCCCAGCACAGCCCGTGTCAGCACGTGCCCGTCTCAGCTGCCCCAGCCTCCCCGACACCCCCGGGACGCAGCTCTCTGTCATCCGGCAGAGGCCAGCCAGCCTCAGGTGAACCGAGATACTGACAGGGCAGAAAAGAGGAGTGCCAGGAATGGCAGTGGGCAGCGGGGTGAGCCAGAGAGCAGGGACGAGGCCCACCCCGGCTCTCACCTCGGGACAGGAAGCGCTGCGTGGCCAAGAGCAGCTGAGGCGAGATTTTCACTTTATAGTCGTCGTCAGACACCTTGAACAAGGAGAACTCCTCTTTCTGCCTGAGAGGGGCGTTCAGAGACGCAGGCTTCTTCTTCACTATAGTGTCTCCTGGGGTGGGGTGAAGAGGGCCTGCTGAGGCGCCAGGAGCCCTCCACCAACACGACCGGACCGAGGGGTTTGCTGCCGCTCCTGCCTCCAAGGCCTTGGGGCTCCTGGGGGAACGGTGTCAGGACCCCAGGCCCTGTCCTGGGCACTGCTGCTTTGCCGGAACCTGCATTGCCACCCCCACCAGACAATGATCCAGTACCCGCGTCAGAGGGGCAGTGGCCTGCATTCCAGGGACAGCCTGAGAAGTAGCAGAAAGGCCTGCTCCCCTCCTTGGAATTGGGAGCAGATAATGCAGACAGCAAAAAGCTTACATAAAACAGCAGCCCCCCTCCAGGAAGCATGAGCATGAGGATCACTCATCTCAAACAGCCGCTGATCTGCAGAGCCTGTGCCTATGGCTGTCTGAGGAGCCGAACCAAGATGTCGCGTTTGGGGAACAGACACACGGGCAAAGAGATTCATGTGCAAACTCACAGGGGCGGGCAGCTAGTTTTCTGGGGCCCCTGTGAGCTCCCCACAAAGCATGGGCTGTGTGTGCCCCGCAGACTGCAGCCACTAAGAGGCAGGCCCTCCTAAGACACAATCACAGGCCCCAAGATCATCTGGTTGGGGAAGAACCTCTTGGCAGTAAAGCAAGGGGTTCTTTGAGAACTTCTATAATGTAAAACAGGACAAGAGGCCAAGGAAGAGGAAGACTGGGCAACGCCCATTCAGGCCAGAGGCAAGTCCAGTGCCAGGACTGCAACACCGCCAAAGGGATGATCTGGTCCAGCCACAGGTGAGCCCCACCTCCCCTGAGAGGCAATCCCAGCTCCCGCAGGGCTAAGGACACAAGCCCAGGGATGTGATAGCTCTGCCCCGAGATCCAGCCCAACTTCGAACAACATGGGGACCCCCAGCCTCTGATATACACATGTCTCCGTAAGCTCGAGACCAGCTGAGCCGGAGACACACAGGAGCCCGGACTCACGGTAGTCCTCAGACTCGTCCAGGATCTCGGACTTAATGATCTCCTCGATGACATCCTCCAGGGTGACCAGGCCCAGCACCTCGTAGAAGGGGTCACCTTCGCCCTCATTGTTCACCTTCTGCACGATGGCCAGGTGGGACTTCCCTACAGGGAGAGGACACTCACGTTACAGCTCGCTGGAGGCCTCCTTTTCCCTTGTCCCGACTGACAAGCCCACCACGAGGATGGAAGCTGTTTGTGTTCCCATGATGCGCCACGCATCAGGAGAGACTATTCCTAGCTTCTCACTACCTAAGACGCTCCATGTGCCCATGAGGATCTCAGACCTCACGTCCCCCTGCCCAAGGCCCCCCCAAGCAGTGGCGGAGCTGGGGTCACCCCAGGTCTGCATGGCTCCACACCGCAAACATGGTTTAGACAAGGAAGCATCTGGGCCAGAACAGACGGTAAAGAGCAACTGGGCCTAGGACACAGGGCCCTGACGCCAGAGACGCCAGCTGCCCAGGAAGCGTCTGGATGCAGGAGCCAAGAGGGGCCACGTCAGAAGTCTCCAAGGGAAACATTCCCAATTCTGAACGTTGCCCTGTATCTTCATCCAAGTCAGGCAGGGGGATGAAGACAGTGGTAACCTGGGCAGTCAGAGCCCAAACTGTGTGAGAGGAACAGCATGAGGCTGTGACTCTTGTCCTCCCTCCTCAGGTCAGCCAGCTGCTCGCTTAAAGAGAAAACGTAAGCCTGAGAGAAGCCCGGCCTCAGAATGCTGGGGACTGGTGCGGAAGCCTCAAGAATTTACTCTGCTTCAGTAAGTGCTTTCCCGCTATAAACCTTTGTTATTGTTGTTGTTTAGTCACTAAGTCGTGTCCAATTCTTTGTGACCCCATGGACTGTAGCTCGCCAGGCTCCTCTGTCCATGGGATTTTCCAGCAAGAATACTGGAGTGGGGTGCCATTTTCTTCTCCAGGGGATCTTCCCAACCCTGGGACTGAACCCACAACTCCTACATTGGCAGGTGGATTTTTTTAACCACTGAAACACCAGGGAAGCTATAAACCTTTATGCCTGTCCAAAAGAAACAGAATGCAAGCCAAAATTTTTGAGTAGCTATGTTAAAAAAAATAAAGAGAAATGAAATTAATATTATGATGAACTCAGTACAGTCAAAATATCACAAAATGCAATCAACATAAACATATAAATAGATATTTTGCCTTTGGGGGGGTACTAGGTCTTGGAAATCTGCTCACCTGCACACTACTCACTGCACACCTCAACCTCAATTCAGACTGGTGACCTTTCAAGAACTTAGCAGCCACATGTGGGCAGTGACTACTGGCCCGGGCTGTGCAGATCTAGGATACGGACCATGCCTTTTGTCACTAGTGAAAAAAGCACAGCATAGAAGCTGGCCTAGACTTGTACACAAAGGGGTGCTTGCTTCAAGAATCTTCTGGCAAAGCAGAAAAGGAAGTTCCCATCTGTGAATCCTACTTTACATACCCTGGATTCAGTGACAATGCAGGGGACTGGGTTCAGAAGCACATTCTTTGGAAGCATCATGCTCTGCCTCGTTCTTTCAGCATCCATGGGCTATGTATGCTCCTCCCCAGCCCATTCCCCTGTCCCCAGTAATCAGATACAGAAGACCTCTGCTCCAAAGCTGGATGGAATGAAACTGTCCAGAGGCAGGCAAAAGCTATGATTACTAGACCACTAACCAGGTAGTCAAGAAAGGAATAAGGGACTTCCCTAATGGCACAGTGGTAAAGAAATCCACCTGCTAATGCAGGGCACCAGGGTTCAATCCCTGGTCCAGGAATATCCTGCATGCTGCAGGGCAAATAAGCCTGTGTGCAACTACTGAGCCTATTAGGCCTTGAGCCCGCGCTCCACAGTAACACGGTAAGACAGGTCACCGCAGCGAGAAGCCCAAGCACCACAACGAAGACCAAGCGCAACAAAAAGTCAATAAATGATTTTTAAAAACATATGAAGAAAAACAAAAACTTCAAACCACTATATATATATAAAAACAAGACAACTCAATTAAATTTTTTTAAAAAAGGAATGAGGCTGTAAAATAATAAAAAGATCACATTTACGGTATTTCATCAAATCTAAGACAGCATCAATCATGAGACTAGAGAGATGTTAAAGTGCAAAACAATCGTGCATCTGAGCACGGACGCAAGGCAGCACAGGCCTACATGGTTTCAGTGCGCGTCACAGACACCACGTTCTTCACACACGGAAGCTTCATGGCGTCCCTTCACTGAGCAAGTCTACCGGCAACATTTGTCCAACAGCACCTGTTCAGCGGGTGTCACATTTTGGCAATTCTTGCTGATTTTCAAGGTTTTTCATGTAATAACATATGACAAGACATAATAATATCTGTTATGGCGATCTGTGGCGCTCTACTGTAACTTTTTTTGTGGGGGGCACCACCAACTGCACCCACATAAGACTGGGAACCTGCGTTCTGACTGCTCCCCCAACTGGTCGTCCTGCCTCTCTCCCTCCCCTGGGCCTGCCTGTTCGCTGAGACACAGTAATACTGAAATTTAGGCCAATTAATAACCCTACAATGGCCTCTAAGTGTCCCAGTTAAAGGAAGAATCACGGTCTCTCATTTTAAATCAAAAGCTAGAAATGACTAAGCTTAGTGAGGAAAGCACGTCGAAAGTTGAGACAGGCCGGAAGTTAGGCCTCGTGCACCGAACAGCCAAGTCATGAGAGCAAAGGATCAGTTCTTGAAGGAAATTAAAAGAGCTACTGCCTCAAAATAAACACAAACAAGCATATAAATAAGCGCACTACTCAGAGGGCGAGAGGAGCAGGGGACGACAAGGATGAGATGGCTGGATGGCATCACTGGCTCAGTGGACATGAGTGTGAGCAAACTCCGGGAGATGGTGAAGAACAGGAAGGCCCAGTGTGTTGCAGTCCACTGGGTCACAAAGACTCAGACACGACTGAGCAACTGAACAACTCAATGAACATGTGAATGAGAAGAAAACCGAACGGTCTTATTGCTGATATGGACAAAGTCTGGAGAGAAGATCAAACCGCCACAACGTTCCCTTAAGCCAAAACCTAAGCCAAAGCAAGCCCTAACCTGCTGCCAATTCGATCAAGGCTGGGACAGGTGAGGAAGCTACAGATGGAGATTCTGAAGTTAGCAGAGACCAGTTCATGAGGTTTAAGGAGAGCTGACTCCGTAACACAGAAAGTGTAAGGTGAAGCAGCAAGTGCTGATGTAGAAGCTGTAGCAAGTTATCCAAAAGGGCTAGCTCAGATCATTAATGAAGGTCGCTACACTAAAAAACAGATGTTCAGTGTAGACGAAACAGCCTTCTATTGGAAGAAGATACCATGTAGAGCTTCACAGAGAGGAGAGGTCAAGACCTGGTTTCAAAGTGTCAAAGGATAGGCTGATCCTCTTGTCAGGGGCTAATGCAGTTAGCAGGTGACTTCAGGTTGAAAGCAGTACTCATTAACCATTCCAAAAATCCTAGGGCCTATGCAAATTACACTAAATCTTCTCTGCCTGTGCTCTACAAATGGAATACTAAAGCCTGAATGACAACACATCTTTTTACAACGTGGTTTACTGAATTTTTTAAGCCCACTGTTGAGACCTACTGCTCAGAAAAAAGATTCTTTTCAAAGTAATTCTGCTCACTAACAATGCATCTGGTCACCGAAGAGCTCTGATGGAGATGTCCAACAAGGTGAATGTTATTTTCATGCCTACTAACACATCATCATACCGCGGCCCACAGATCAAGGAGTAATTTCAACTTTCAAGTCTTATTATTTAACAACTACATTTCACAAGGCCATAGCTGTCATAGATAAGATTCCTCCAATGGATCTGGGCAGTCAACTGAAAATCTTCTGGAAAGCATTCCCCACTCAAAAAGCTATTAAGAACATTCATGATTCATGAAAAGAGTCAAAACATCAACACTAACAGGAGTTTGGAAGAAGCTGATTCCAACCTTCACGGATGACTTTGAGAGGGTCAAGACTTCACTAGAGGAAGTAACTGCAGATGTGAGACCAGCAAGAGAACTGGAATTAGAAGTGGAGCCTGAAGATGTGACTGAAGTGCTGCCATCTTGTGTAAAACTTCAACAGATGAGGAGTTGCTTCTCATGGGTGAGGAAAGAAAGCAGTTTCCTGAGATGGATGCTACTCATGTTAAAGGTGTTGCAAAGACTGTTGAAATGGCAACAAGAGATTTAGAACATTCTATCAACTTACCTGATAAGGGGTTGGCAGAGTTTGAGAGGACATACTCCCAATTTGGAAGAATTTCTACCGTGGGTAAAACACTACCAAACATTTCTGTGGCCTGCTACAAAGAAATTGCTGGTGAAAGGAAAGAGTTCATCGATGTGGCAAATGTCACTGTAGTCTTATTATTATTATTATTTTTTTGTAGTCTTATTTTAAGAAATGGCCACCATGGAATATTACTCAGCCATAAAAAAGAACACATTTGAGTCAGTCCTAATGAGGTGGCTGAACCTAGAGCCTGTTATACACAGTGAAATCAAAAAAGAAAAACAAATATCATATATAATGAATATATATATGGAATTCAGAAAGATGGTACTGAGGAACCTTCTGCAGGGCCGCAATGGAGACACAGCCAAAAGAGAATGGACTTGCGGACACAGTGGGGGAAGGAGAGGGTGGGATGAAATGAGAGAGTAGCAAGGAAACATATAAATTACCGTATGTAAAACAGGTACCAAGTGGAAATTTGCTGGGTGACCCAGGGAGCTCAAATCGGATGCTCAATCTAGATGATGACATGGGGTGGGAGGTGGGAAGGCGGGGACATATGTATACCTATGGCTGATTCGTGCTGATATACAGCAGAAAACAATGCAATATTGTAAAGCAATTACCCCCCAATTAAAAAATTAAAAAGCAAACAAACAACGGCTGTGGCCATGCCAGCTTTTAGCAACCACCACCCATAATTATCAGCCAGCAGCTACTGACAGGGACGCAAGGCCCTCCTCCGTCAGCTTATAGCTTGCTGAAGGCTCAGACGGGTTAACATCTGTTAGCCATAACACAACATACATACATTGTTCTTTTCAGACCTAATGCCAACTGCACACTTGACAGACTACAACATAAACA